TGTCATCATCACTTTTGTGGCAGCCTCAGCCTCGCACCTGCTTGCCACCGCACCCCGCCGCCGCAGAAACCCAACCTCTGACCCCTGACCCCCGACGCCCTCGTTTTAGGGTCTGCGTGTGCGTACTCCCATGAGTGAGAGCTGTGCGAATTCGGGGCTCATCTTTAAGTGTTCGCCACCGAACTTGAATTCGATGCCTTCCCTCGAGAAACCCCGGGCACAATGCAAATATCAGTGCTTCTCCACCTTTCCTCGAAAAGCATTAAAAATGCAACCACCAGACGAGCGAGAGCAGCGGGTGAAAGGATGCGAGAGGGAAGTGGGCTTTGAGCCAACATGTTGGTGATTTGTTGGCCCATAATAAATCAGGGACATAAACGGCTTATGGCCGAACACGACTACAACAATTACCAGGAATACACCAAGCAAAATAGGTTTTAAAAAGTCACAAACTGAATTATATTAATCCAAAACAGAGTCTATTCGAATACCATAAGTAATTAAATTGATTTCATTTGATTTCATTATGTGAAATTTAAAAAACCTGGTATATTTTTAGAATACAAATTCAATTTCTCAACCATGTCTTTTAAAAATGTATACGTTTTATATAACTATTGATAGCATTTAATTTTATAATTATTATTTGACCGGATTTTTGCAGTGTAAAAATAATGAAAGTAAAATATGTTTGCTAAATATCCACAGATCGGATTTTCGACATACTCGTCCATATTTATTAAAGTATTTTTCGCTTCTCTGTTTAATTAAAAATTAAGTGGAAGCTCAGACATCGGAAAAAAGAATACATACGTTTAATGATATTTAAAAGAGAAAAAATGTAGAGCTTCTTTACGGGCTGTGTGATTCGAGCGATCTATAACAGCCCAAAATACCGGGTGAAAAGTGGTCTTAAATCGGCACCAAACGGCGGATGGAAGCGTTGAAAATGAACTATGAACAATTTATGTGATTGTTTTGCCCGTCACTCCTCTATAAATCCACATATATGCGATTGTGTGCTCGGCATGGCCAATAATGCGCCGTAAGGCACGGAAGTTTACGCTCAATTTAGTTGGCAAAAAACCTACATATCTATGGGAATATATACATATACCAAATAGCTATATATATAAGCATGCATGTGCACATTTATATTGGCTTTCAGTTGCAGCAGTCAGGCAAATAAAATTCAAAAACAACAAAAATATTTATTTAGTTTCGAATTGGGTGTGAAGGGGGACCAAAGTGTGCATATCCATCACTTGCCAATATTTGCGTTCAACATTTCGAATTCAAAATGCAAGAAAAAAACAATATTGGCAAAAGATGAATAACGAAAACGAAAATGGAAATTATTTTGAAGAGGAACAGTGCATTCCAGACAGGAATCGAATGGCAAAAAGGAAGTAGGTTAATATATGCAGGAAAAATTAAAATCAGAATCAGAAAAAAATACGAAATCCTTGTAGCGATTTAAAATCTCTTAAAGTTATCACAAAAGTATGCAATCAAATAGTAGACACAAAAAAATTTCAATATAAAACTAACTGAAACCATTTTTTATTAAACAATTTTCTGTTCCTCTCAGATTTCATTCCTAATATAATTTCAGTGGTCATAAGATGTTACATAAAAGACTGATTGCCCCAGAAGTTGAAAGGTATTTCTCTTTAATTTAGTTTTTAGCACCCAGGCATATAAAGAATCTTTACGATGCATGGTAATGTGGCAAGCGATTTGGACTCCTCCCCATTTTCCTGGGGAGAGGGTCTTCTCCTCGTCCCCCGGGGTTTTTCAATTGAATTGCCCGGGAAAGCACCACCCCCTCGCCATCCCCCCCTCCCCCCTTCCACTCCCATTTCATTTCATTCCGGTTCTGTTCCGTTTCGTTTCGTTTCAGACGAGACAAATTGCTCACGCCTCGCATCATTTCACTTCCGAGCCGTTGATGGATTTGTCACTTTATGACACTTGGAGCGGGGGATTCTGGTCCTAAAAGTGGTGGTGAGGGGATCACGAGGGGCTGGCCTTTTCGGGCATACTGCCAGCCAATGTCGCAATGCGCTTTTCCCACACACTCTCGCACATACTTACGTAAATGCCGTCGCGCGTCAAGAATTTCTCAACCCCTAGGTGAAAAACACACTCTTCGATCTGACATCATAATAAGATCATAAATGAAGAAGAATCTAGGATATTAATATAAAAAAACCTAAAGCTGGGCAAAACACACCCAAGTGACTTCTACTTAAAATGATATTTAAAATATAACTAGAAACTTAAAGAAACAGTAATAAAATTATATGAAAAGCGAAACAAGTTTGAACCTTAATACCATTCCAGCTTTTGAGGCCACAAAAGTGTTTACATTAAAATGCTGTCACTCCGCAAAAGCCTTTTAAACAATTAAACAATTGTGTACGAGTATTTCCATTCGCGACAGCGGAGCGCGATCCATTGCAGTCATTTTGAGTGAAATATGCTCCAGTTCAGTAAGCCCTTAAAACTCAATTCAGAGCTTTTCGCCCCGTCGATTTTCGACCGCCAAGCCACGAATCGTTGAGGAATGCGAGAAGTGCCGGCGGAAACAAATGGGCCGGAGTCAGTTCACAAAGCCGGAGGGGCCAAAAAGCGCATCACAAGTGCCGCGGGGGCCGTGAAGGCCCCCCACCTCTTAAAAGGGGGTTTACGGGCATATCAGCGATGATTGAGCCACTGTGGCTTCTCCTTTCAGTCGGTGTGTCTGTCGGTGACTCTGACTGTGTGCCTATGTGTGTGCCTGTGTGTGTGTGTGTGTGTGTGTGTGTGTGTGTGTGTGTGTGTGTGTGTTTTGTGGACTGAAGAGCCCGTTGAATGATGGGGACAGTGCATATGACAGAAGCGACTGAATGCCACCCATGGCAACCGAAAAACGGGGGGGACACTCGTTGTCAACTAACTGCACCAAAACTGAACGCTCGGCGAGCACTGACGCGCCCATTAGACTTCTGAAGTGATGACAGGACAAGGTCCCAGCCAACTTCTGACTCGCAGTCCGACCTTTACCCACTCTTCGACTTACTTCCCCAAAAAGCACAGCTAGAAATTGGCAAAACCATCAGTGCAATAAAATATTTAAAACAGAGCAACAAGAAATTGCGGAGAAATATTTGAAAACTTTTTTTTTAAATATATAAAAAGTTCACCATTCGAAAACTATAATTTTTGTGCCTAAAAGAAGGCAACAAAAAAGTCAGTTTAAAATTAAATAGAAGCATGTACTGTGGATTTGATTACAGAACTTCTTGGCCTACAGTAAATCCTCTCTCTTAATGTTAAAAATTTTATCTTAGTGGTTTCAAAGAAAAAGCCCCTGTTTTTTACAGTAAACTGCCCGCTCTACTATTCCTTCTAGCTAACCAGTCACTCTGCTAGTCAGTCAGCCGGTTTATGTGTGTTGCGCTGACATGGTGCTGGAAAAAATGATTGGCCTGCTGCACTCCACGGATCGAGTGTGTATCTGGGTCTGGGCCTCCGTGGCAGCCATGTGCATCTGTGAGGGATCTGGGCATTTAAGCCTTTTATGTGTCGCTTTCAATATTAATTAAATGCTTACAAACCCGAAAGGGGACATGCCAAACGAAGCAAACGAGACCAGGAAATGTTTTCCTCAATCCCTCTCTCTCTCTTTCTCTCTTTCTCTCTCTGAATTTGCAAATACCCCCCTGACCTGTCTTGCATTTTCATGCAGTTTTCCCAAGCCCCTTCTTTCCCGTTGGGATTTTACTTTTTCGGACTTCGCCAGTATGGTTCCTTGTTGTTGCATCATTCATTAGTTGTTGTCTGGCCGAAAAAGTTCTTGGAAGCCAACTCCGGTCTGTAGTTTTGTATTCCTCTTCTCCTGTTTTTGTATTTTGGAACCCCCTTTTCCCACGAGGTCATGTAAATCAGAAGTTTGTTGTTGTGGTGGCATCATCAGTAGTAATGACTGTGGGCCACATTTCCATTGTTACTTTGCACTCTGTGTTAAAATTATTATGCGGGTTTAAAAGGGTAAACAAGGTATTGACCTCTTCAAAGGATTATGCATTCCCATGAGCTGTAAACTAAATAAAACGCAGATACTCACAGTGCGTATACGTAATTTATAAACTTTTTGCTTTTTTAGGAATTTTTCAATGGCATACCTTCCCTTTTGTTATATACACTTTATATAATTACTTAAAGGCGACAATTGATAAACTCATTCTGGTTTAATATTCAATTTCATTTCTATTTTGGGTCCTGCAATCAAGACATCAGAATTTCGTACTTCAACCCACTCAAACGAAAAAATGGAAAATAATGAAACTGCTGACAGCAGCACAAATGGTTTACGAGAAATATCAAACACAAGACCCTCCGCACAACCTCAAAGGAGGAATAAAAAAAGGGACTTTCCCTTCAACACCTCCAGTGGAGTTTTTGTGTTTTCGAGTGGGTGAATTGGGATCCCGAAAAAGGACAAGACAATGGCTCCCATCCCCCTCCACCTTTTTTGCCCATTCAGGTTTGGTTGGGCGTGCGACAGATACAGCCATTTCAGCTTTACAATCTCTTCAAATTAAATTGACCCACGTCAGAATAGGTTGAGGGGAAAACGAAGAAGGGTTTCCGCCGTCTAGTCTGTCCTGTTCCTCACATGTCAGTTGTTTTTCTCTGTTTTCCTTCTTCGAGTGGCAATAAAGGAAACGGAATAAATGATTAGTCGGTCATTTTTATACTCTCAATGGTTCCCGTTGATTGCAGCAAGAATGTTTATCCGATATAGATTGCCATATGTAATAATAATTGGGTGAAATAAAACTATCAAGGCAGATTTTTTTAAATTTTGAGAGGAATGGTAACTTCTAAATCACCAAAAAATTATTGTCAACATTTCTAAGGGAACCGAGGTATATGAAAACATCTAAAATCACAAAAAATGATAAACAAGTAGGCCTTTGTTTTCAGCTGTCAAAATTTCTAAGGGAACCGAGGTGTAATTAGAGCTACAGGCAGAACGAAAATCAGTTGCCTCCGAAACGGGCAGCAAGCTAGTCGCATTTCGGGTTGAATAAAAATAATTAAATTACAAGTGTAAAAACGTGAGTGAACAAATAAGTGTTATAAAAATTGAAATAAAAAAAATGAAAGCACACAAAGTCGTCTCTATACACTAATCACAAATCGCTGTGTGTGTTTCGTTGCAGGTGCCGTCGAGATGTCGGTGCTGCGCTGGATTCCCCGTGCAAATCGGGGGAATCTAAGCCAGACGACGGCGACGACGACGACAATGATGATGAAGATGATGAAGATGGGTCGACGATTTGCGAGCGGTGGCGATGGCATTCGCCTGATGGTCGGGGATCGCGAGGTGGTCGGCTACGGCATCAATGGACGGCCTTTGTACTTCGATAGCCAGGACTGTCCGTTCCCGGCGATTCGATACCGTGAAGTCACGCCGGAATTGTGCGCGATTAGGGAAAAGGAGCTGGGCGACTGGAAGAAGCTATCGCTGGAGGACAAGAAGCAGCTGTATCGACATAGCTTTTGCCAAACCTACGCCGAGTTCCAGCACTTTACGCCGGAGTGGAAGATCTGCCTGGGCGTCGCCTTGTGGCTCGTGGCCATCGGTGTCTGCATCTCGATGTCGATGAAGGCCAAGCTGTACGGCGAGCTGCCCGATACGTTCGAGGAGGACCGCCGTTCGGCCCAATTACGTCGCATTATCCATCTCCAGATGAACCCCATCACTGGAATCTCATCGAAATGGTGTTACGAGGAGAACCAGTGGAAGTAACAAATACGTTTTCAACTGATTTGCCGTAGACACGTACAGAAACGAAACATCACATCTAACTGATTGCACGCTCACCCTCTTCTCCTGTTGCCACCGAATAGAAACTACAAATGACATAAACAATCCGTTTATGATCACCTGAAAATGGGAAACACGTTGATCACATATTGCAGCATCCACATTACGATTTACAATTAGAAATAATTGTCAAATAGCCATCAATATTTAATTATGCACGCTCGTACACAAACAAAATCGATTTTGCAGAAATTGAAATTGAATTTAGTTGACGATCGTTCACATAGCCAAAGAATCATTCACTCTTGGAAACGCTAACGCCACACACCTCACAAAACCACACCGTACTCTAACTAATGAAAATGGGAAACACGTTGATCACATATTGCAGCATCCACATTACGATTTACAATTAAAAAACAATTGGTTAATTAACTATGCGCGCTCGAACACAAACAAAATGAATTTTGTAGAAATTAAATATTAATTTCCAAAATCACACCAGTTACAATATAGTACATTCACAAACTAAGTTGTGGCCCATCATTAAATATATACTCGTATAAAAAAAAATATTTGAAGTTCGTTTTAATATTCCACCCTCAAAGAAAACTGGTTTAGTTGAGCTAAAAATGCGCTTTATTGCAATCTTGAATTGAGATTTAATACATCTTAATCGGCTTCATGTCGCTGACTGTACTTTGATGTGTTTTAATGTTTTTCTTTTTTTAATGTAAAGGTGGTCTCGTTTTAGTATGTATGTATGCAAGAATGTATAGTGGCATGTATGTATATAAATACTAACATCAGTTGATTTTTCGTTTCTTGTATGAATTCCTCTTTTGTTTTCAAAATTTGTGTTTCGTTCATGGTGCATCACATGCATGGAGTACAGTAGTCAATGCCTAAATGGTCGAACAAAGCTCAAAGCTCTGACAAAACTAAGTTTTAAGTTGGAAAGATAAGATATATTTGTATATATATAGATCGAGTTTAAGTACGGCCAATTGCTTAAGAGGATATAAATAAGGACACAAATAATTTTTATCAATTTCATTGTTACTCGATGTCGAAAGGGATTTGATTTCTTTGTTTTTATTGAACTCTGTTGTTTTATTCCGTTTTATTGTTATTTTCTTTTTAATTTTAGTTTATTTTATTTTAATGCTACCACAAAATATATTCCTCAGATACATTTATGTAACTACTTAGAGAACATCATTTAACTTGAATAGTTCTTGGCAGTTATTTTTCTTGCATATATATTCATAATTCGTTTTGCTTTAAAAATATGCCCGCGATCTTTTTTTCCGTCGTTTTATATATGCTTTCCTTGCTTTCTTCAGCTTTCCATCGATTTGATTAATGTACGATATTTGCGACATAAATACGCATTTCTCTCACATACATAAATATACATATATATATATATATATATATTTATATTCTTTCTAAATTTATGCATTTCATATGCTTGTATTTTATATAATTTCTTTCATTTCCCACCCCCTTTTTCCCCCGTGCATTGGTTTACCATTCCCGAAAACCGAGTGGCATCCACAGGATGTCGACCGAACATCACCAGGACGCCATCTGGCGGCGGATATGCGCACCTTGCCACCTTTGTTTTTTGTTGTTCTTTTCGCTTTACACATTGACAAAAATTTAGTTAAGTTTTCTTGCTTTTTTCGTGTGTTTTTGTTTGTTTAAGCTAAATTGCATTAAATAATTAATTTTAATTATTTTATTAAATATATCTACTACGTTGAAAATATGTGTGTGTGTGTATGTGTTTGCGTGTCGGTGAGTGTTATCAATTTGTTTTCCTGACTTTTGATTTTGCATGTGTTTCAAATGGTTCCTGCTGCTGTTGCTGTTTTTTTTTTAGTATTGGTTGCTAAACATTTCTCTTGTTTATTGGCAGTGCAAGTTCTGTTTTGCGTGTGGCTTTTACCAGTTTTACAAATTGAAATCATCGAATTAAGGCAAGCTCCGAACAGATAGTACACATTATTGAATCAACTTGCAACGCAAAATGGTAAAAGGGAAAACGAAGTGGTTTAAATGGTAATGGTAATCGAAATGAAGGTGTGTGTGGAAATCCTAAATGGCGGCCAGCGCAGAGATCCTTCCCAAGCCCAATCAAGCTTTCTATATAATGGGTGTACCGATCGATCGTATGTGTGATGGTGTATCTGTTTGTTTCTCTTGGTTGGTTGATTGGTTGGTTGGTTGATTGGTTTTGCTTTGTTCTATAAGATACGACGATTTATGCACTATATAATAGCATATATATATTGTTGTACCCTAAAAACTCGATCCCGCTTTCGGTTCCGTTTTTCTTTCTATCTTTTTTTGTTTTTTGTTTCTGTTTTTCTCTCCCTTTTCCACATTTCCCAGACTTTTCCCAGACTTTAGCCATTTTGTAAACACTCTATGTCTGCCATTTGCTGCGTGTGTGTTGTTTTGTGTGGTGAACTCGCTGCTTTTCCCGCTGCCGCCATCGCTGATGCTGCACCTGCTGCTGCTGCTGCTATTCCTGATCCTCTTACGGGTGTGCTCCTGATTTCTGATTCCTTTATTAGCCCATAATGCTGCCAGTCATTCAGTCCCAGCCGTTCTCCTTTATCATGTGCGCCAGCTCGATGATGAACTTGCCCTCCTTGTACTTCTGGCTGGACTCGTAGGCGTGCTCATACTTCCAGCCGAGCGGTGTTTTGCAGCACTCACAATAGATGTCCGCCACCGCATGGAGGCCGGTGAGGAGCACCCGTTCCTCCGTCTGGCCGCAGGCCACGTTCACCACCGAGTTGAACAGATAGGCCGGACCCTGGCTGCCCTGGAACGACTTCGAGATGAGCTCGTCGTGGGAGGCGAGGTGGGCGCGGCAGTGAACACATGAATAGGTCCGATTCGTGGACGGCAGATAGGCCTGAAACGTCTTCACCATCGTGACACGTTGATCTCTCCTGCTTTAACGAAGATTATAGACTGTACTTGACTCGGGTTGTCTGTCCTTAAAATGGTCCTCTTTCTGCAATCAGGGATTTGTTTATGAGTCAAATGTATGCTTAACCTTAAATCAATTATGATTCTCTAACTTGAATGCAATGGTGATGAAGTAGATCGGTAAACCGTTGAAATTTTGGTCTCTACCACTCGAATTTCGCCTTTTGCTTTTTTTTCAGGAAATTATCGAATTTAATTTTGAAAAACAGGAACTCCTTCAGCTACTTGATGTTTATTTCTTCTTTTCTTGATTTTATCCAGTTTTTTAAACTGGAACCACTGAATATTCGCCTTTCTACTTTTTGGTAAAACACTTTTAACACAAATTAGGTCTATCAAAATGTACCTAAAAATTATCTTGTGATTTGATTTTGTCTCTAAAACCAAACAAAAATGTTTGAAAAGTTGCAGAATTGTATTTAATTTACCTACACCCCTTCCATGATATTTTAAATAGGTTTTTGGTGATATTTATGAGGAATTCGAATTACCAAAGTTTAATTTAAAATCCTTACCTTGACCAGGACCACAACGAATTCTTCCCGTCTCCGTTGCTCTTGGGGCGTTGTTAACTGTGCTCTTCTGCTTTCTCCACCTTTAAGTGGTCCTTATTGGGGGCGGAGGAGGCGTGGCCAGCGCAGACAACAGCAGCAACAGCAGCGGTAAAAACTGCCGCGGCTGCTGTCATTGAACGAATATTGCTGGGATTACAGTCACTTTGCTGTCTCGCCCGTCGCTTCTCCTCGTTCGTTTCTCCGTATATCTTCTGATTTCAATTCCGATTCCGATTCCGATCCACGGCTATATCAGATTTCCTGCCAAAGAAAACTGCAAGTGGAGAATGAAAGGCGAAATTAATAATGCATGTGTCTGTCTGTTATGCAAAAATACAGCAGAATTCAAGCCAAGGAAAAACAGAGCAACAAAGCAACAGAGCGAGCGTGAAAGAGAGAGGGCCGTATATCTAGCCATTTAGTTGATATGGTCGGGGGCCTTTCCATTATTGATTTCCATTTGCAATCTCCTTGCCTCCGGCGTTGGTAATTCCAGTGTGCAACCCACTCGCACACTGAAACACAGACAGCCCATGGATAATTGCCGCCCCCGAAACCAAACAAAGCGCAAAAAAAAATAAGCTAGCGAAATGCAGACCAGTTTACCAGATCAAAAGATACCCTGTGATAAGATCACAAGAGAAATCGTATAATGTAAATTACTAGGACTATGCTATTGCTTAATTTTGGTACGCCAGTAGAAATATATAAAGGGGTATAAAGGGTCATTAATATTTGGTTTGGAGTAATCAAAAATTACTCATCAATGGCTTTATATCTTCAACAAACTTATAATAAGGAATAGAATATCTGTAGGAAAACGTAGAGGGGCTTGCCTTATAGCTGGTTTTAAAGATAAAGAAAATTAAAGTGTAACAAAAATAAATATGTACGTCTCAAGTTTACTTATTGTTAAAAACAACATACCCCTGATTCAGTTGGTATGATGGATATCAAAGAGAGCGCAAAATTGCGCCTTTCGAGTTGCACATGGTTGGCGGAACTAAGCAGATTTCTGCATCTACGAGATGGATCCGAGAAACCAGAAAAGAACACTCTTCCTATTAGCGCCTTCGGGTGCTAAATGATTAATGGGCGCAGCTACGCTTTGCAGTAAACAACGAACCCAGAGTTGGGTGAGTAATACCTGATTTGGGGCTCAGGTAGGGCCCCCTATTTAAATGGGACAGATCTCGGGGCCCCATGAATGGATGCGCATGAATAATGCCAATTGGCATCTATTATTCATTCCAGATGTGCGCCGCTGTTACTTTGTTCCTTCTAACTCCTGCCAATGTTGTTAATTGTTATTCACTGACCGCACCGATGTTTACCTATTGATAAGCGAAATATAGGGGTTCTGGTATGAGGAAGTCGGACGCAGACAATGACCGATTAAACACCTACATATGTACATGTTTGTATGTGTGTACCCCAACCCTTCTTTGTGGGGAGATATTATAAGTGAGCGATAAAGTGGAGTACTGCAAATTTGCCTGACTGTTGGGGAATCTATGGATGGTATCTACACGGAAAAGACTTATTACCGGATTTGGTTATTATTTACAATAACGAATAAAATAAAAGCTCCAATATTTTATAACTCTTTATTTTACCTCTGCACTGAACTGCTGTCCTGGTTTTAACATGTTTGCAAAATTAGAGGCAAATTACACTCCCAGCCAAAAGGTAATGTATAATTAGGCCCCGCCCCCACCTCAATATTCTCCTTTATTTGGCCCCCTACGACGCTTACACTCCTTAATCCTCCACACTTCTCCACACACACACTCCTTTATCACCGTCTTTTGCTCAATCTCCGAATGCAAATTGACTGTCGACGCCGACTGCGACGCCGCGTCACTGCCTGCGCCGTTGGCTTGAACAAAGAAAATGCTAAAGGAGCGAACGGACAGAACAAAGAGCAGACCAAAGAGAGCGGGGTGAGAAGGACAGTGCAAAAGGGAAATGCACTCGAAACGCAGACAACAAAGAAATCCAAATTGCTCCCTTCTGTTAAATTAGTTAATTAATTTACAGCGCTTTTGCCGGGCACAACTTAATTAATACAACTGCTATCAAAGTAACAAGTTCACTGAACCACAAAAAAACCAACAACAAAAAATTTTAGATGTCTCACTCACTTGACGATATCTTCAGCTCGCTTTTGCAATTATTTTTCCAAACGAATTTCAATTAAACTTTTTGCACCTTTACTTTTCTATTTTGTTTACTTCTTGACGTAGCTGCTTTGCACGGCAAGCGGACGAGCGAGAAGCGGAGCGCGCAGCGCGAATTGTGGATGGCAAATGACGCTGCTTTTGGTACAAAAAAATCGGAGGCAGGGAGCAGCGCTGCCCACGCGAGCAGCGCCGCCGTCTGCGACGCAGCAGGTGGCAGCAACAGCGACCGCGACGTCAGCGATAAAGGACAAGGAAAAAAAACAAATACGAAATGCAAAATAAAATTGCTCAAGATAATAACAATTGGAGCAACGCATAATGCGTGCTCAATGAACAAACAAATTACGTGCAATTTAAAGTTGCAATCAAGACGAGAAAAAAAGGTGAGGAGGAGAAAAGGGGCACAAGGTAAATGCAAAATGCACTTGCCGTTAGAAAAGGTAACCGTATTCTTGTTATTGCACTTTGTCTCTCCCCCACCCCTTCTCTATTGCCATACCTTTCCAATCCTGGCTTTATACATATGTGGGCAGAAACAGAAATAAAGTGGATTTTGCATTTTCTTACTTCTTACAACTTAATGTGCGTGTACTGTGGAGGACAGAAGACTGTAAACACTTCCATTTTTAGATATACATAATTGGGTGAAACTAAAGAGCAAAAAATGAAACAGCGCCACAAGCTTCTGGCACTAGCCTAAAAAATTTAACAATGAAGTTTTTAATTAAAAACTTATAACAAAAACTATGGAAACATTTTTTTGACCCCCGCTGTCTATAGCAAAAGTGGTGGCAAAGACAACAGCAACAAGCGGCAGCCGTGTAACGGTATCGCGATTGTGTGTCAGCGTTGACAGCGACGCCGACTGCAGCAGCGGCTGCGACGTCGCGTGTTGAAAGCAACAACAAAGCTAACGGTACTGCGCTTGCAACAGATCAACACCAATAAAAACAGTAAATAAAAAAAACAGCTAAAACAATCTGTAAAATCAGCTGTTCTTTTTTTTTAACGAAGTTGACAAATACGCAATAATTAAAGCAATTATAATCTCCGACAGTCTCTGAACTTCATTTGCGACCGATTATTGTTTATTGTTTGCTCTTCGTCTGCGGCTTCTTCGCCGAAAAGACAACTTTTGCGTCGTTTTCTCTATGCTTTTTGTTTTGGTTTTCATTTGCCAAAAAGCTGGGTATTTGATGGATAGTGAGGTTGTATTGCTGGCTTGTTAGCCGGTTATTCATTTAACAGAACCATCATTTTTAACAGTCCACAATTTTAGTCCAAAATTCAACCTCGGCAAATTTTTTCGTTACTTACATAAATGTTTTTTTGTCAACATTTAATAAATGTATGAAAAATAAATTGAACTGATTTTTCAAATTAAATTTAAAGTACGAAAATTCCTGTGGATCAAAAACTAAACTGCAACCCAAAAGCAGGGTATAAAGTTGTCGACGTTTCCTATAAAAAAATCGAAACAAAAACAAAAGGAGCAAAAGATGAAGGCGACAAAGAGTAGAAGAGGAGCAACGACCCAACAATGTTTTGGTTGATGTTTTTTCTAGGCACTGCTTACTTTCGCATATTGTCATCTCGCTCGCACCGTTGCTTGGGGTCAATAGCTACGGATCAGTTGTGTATATAAACATATAGACCGATTGCGGTTGCTTTTCTTATCAAAAAATAACATGAAATTTATTGCGTTGCGACGCCGCTGGTGACTGCGACGTTGGCAGAGCAAAAGAGAGCAAGAAAGAGAGAGAGGTAAACAAAAATACACAAACACATACACATGCGCTCTACAGCTGCTTGTGTGCAAGTGTGTGTGCGCAACAAACAAAAAGCTGAAAATCCTTCTCCTCTTCTTCTCTTCTCCTTTTCCACAACAAAGTCAGCTGTGTGTGTTAGAGAAATGAACTTTAAAACAAGCTTTCCCCTTCTCTGTTCTTTTTTCCAGTTTTTCTAACCAAAAGGCGCAATTTGCTTAGACACCCGAACTCACACAAGCAAAATAGAAGAAAAAAACAAAACATAATAGAAAATAGGCATACAAAAAAGAACTGATATCTATACACACAAGCACACACAAAACACGGGAAAATATTGTTGTTTTTCGCAACTGCGTTTGCCTGCAGGTGCGTCAGAGAGGGAGCAAAGAGGGTGGCAAACTTGGGTAAATGTTGCAAACACTTACGTCCTGTGTGTTGTTTGTTTGTTTGTTTGTTTGCTTGTTGCCTTCCGCTGTCGTTCGCCAACAAACACCTCAGCGCACACACATACACACAGACACAGAGACGGGCAAAAAAATAGCAGCCGAAAATGGCACTCTCTTCACTTGTATAATAATGCAGCAATCTGCATTGTTTCGTTTCTATTTCCAATTGGAATTTGTTGTTGTGTTGTGCTGGGCCAGCGACAATGTGACCAGGCTGTGTGCTAGAGCCATACTGCAAACTATCGAAAAAGGGGTTTTCAAAAATTGGGCGGTCTTCTTACCGCCAAGATAAACACAAAACTTAAATATTCAAAGTGCGTTAATCTGAGTGTTTTGTATCTTTCTATATACGCAAATGTTCGAATAACAATTTTAGGATAAGTATTAAAAGTAATTGATTTTTGTTCTTGAAATTTGTTGAGAACATGATGCGTGCTTTAGCGTTGCGAAAATGTTTCTATTCAAAAGATTTATATGTATGCTTTATTTTAAAACTTTTTGTTTTATTGGGGTAAAACTATAATATAAGCCGTTATCTTAATATTTCTCATGTTTTAGTATTTTTTTTTTATATCGATAATATTTCGCAGCCCTGACCATATGATACAGTCGATACATATCGATAAGATCGTGAGTGGCTGCCCCAGCACTAATTGGAACGTTTTTCGCAAAAAAACAGCGGCCGAAGTCGAAGTTTTCTCGTGTTTTTCGCTATCAAACCGAACTAGAAAAAGGTGAAAATAACAGATAAATTGAGGGCCAACTACTGTTAAACCCAAACAACGGCTTGCATTTGAAAACCCAAAGATTTGGCTTGAGGAAAACGAAATACGAAGCGGCCGCCTAACCTACAAAGTTACATAATTTGGTTATTTTGTTGTTATAATGCCAAGCAGGGTTTTAATCTGGTATATATCCTTTGTTTGCAGTCCAGAATGTCCTTCGTAAAGAACGCCCGCCTCCTGGCCGCCCGTGGTGCCCGTTTGGCCCAGAACCGAAGCTACTCGGACGAGATGAAGCTGACCTTCGCCGCCGCCAACAAAACCTTCTACGATGCCGCCGTGGTGCGTCAAATCGATGTGCCCTCCTTCTCCGGATCCTTCGGTATCCTGGCCAAGCACGTGCCCACTCTGGGTGAGTCCCAATGGTTGATATTTCCCCTCTGAAATTTGATTATATCACCTGGCATCATTCGCTTTTTCCAGCTGTCCTGAAGCCCGGAGTCGTCCAGGTGGTGGAGAACGATGGCAAGCTCCTTAAGTTCTTCGTTTCCAGCGGCTCCGTCACCGTCAACGATGACTCCTCCGTTCAGGTTCTGGCCGAGGAGGCCCACAACGTCGAGGACATCGATGTGAACGAGGCCCGCCAGCTGCTCGCGAAATACCAGTCACAGCTCAGCTCCGCTGGCGACGACAAGGTGCGAATTTGGTCAAAAAGTTATATAAGCTAGGATCTAGAAGATCAGCTGTAGTTATGGTCATCACTTGTCCTTTTGTCTGTCCTTCCAATCTAACAAAGCTCGTTGGAAGTGGAGTGTAAATTATCGAAAAGTAATTTCTGAAAGATCACAAACATTATTTGTCCGGTTATCAAATGAATTGATACGATTTGGTTCAGTTGCTCTATTTAATTCATAACAAACAAATGCTTTGCATCCGTAATCAAAATAAGTAAAGACCTTTTTTGTTTTGGTGGCTATAAAAATATAGTAAATTGTAATAAGCTCTAGTAGAACAGGAACTTAAGTACTGAGAATTGATTACCAACTTTTTATTTATCCTGTTCCTTGTTTTTCAGGCCAAGGCCCAGGCTGCCATTGCCGTGGAGGTCGCCGAAGCGTTAGTTAAAGCTGCCGAATAGACGTAATCACCACACTACCGCCACCAATAAAACCACAATCGATGCTTTGTGTCTGAAATAAATAAAACATAACGATCCCCCTTGAAAAGTAAGAGCGTTATGAAACAATAAATAAGCGATTCATAATATCGTATTAATGACCCGTGATCTGCCTCGTCGCAGTTTTTCTTTTTTTTTATAATTTTTTTTGCTGTTTCGATGTTTAATAGTGCGTTAAACGTTCATAATCTTTGCGAGCCGTCAAAGAGGAATGTGCAATATCTATCGCGCTGCGACTCGATATGATAATGGATTGGCAATCTTTAGCTTAAATATGAGTTATTTGCATTTTTGACTTGAAAGCGCGAAGCGAAAGAGACAAATATATCTTGCTTCTCTTGCCAACTTATGCAAATGGCAAAGTTGATTTGTTTGGTAAACTTTTCTTTCTTCAAGAAAGTTCAAAACATTTGTTTTAATGTGTAAATTCCTTTGTTTATAAAATCAAACATTTGTTTTTGGTTTTTTTTCTATTATATTTTCTAACAAAAAAATGTGGTAAAAAAAATGTCTTAAATTAACTCATGGCGTTGTGTAGGAATGGTGGTATGCTCTCGATGTAGTTAGCAGGAAGGTCCTCCAAGTAGATGGTGCATCCTCTGGTGCCTCTAGTACCCAGGTGGGCCGTAGGTCTGGGCGGGGGCGTGGCCGATGGGCAGCGATGGCTCCTCGGGTGCGAACACGGGCGCCGGAGCGGGATGGGGAACGCTCAGGACGGGAGCGGGAGCTGGAGCGGAGTAAACGGGAGCGGGAGCCGGAGCGGAGTAAACGGGAGCTGGAGCAGGAGCAGAGTACACAGGAGCTGGAGCTGGAGCGGAGTACACAGGAGCGGGAGCTGGAGCAGAGTAAACTGGAGCAGGAGCGGGAGCAGAGTAAACTGGAGCAGGAGCGGGAGCAGAGTAAACTGGAGCAGGAGCAGCGTAAACCGGAGCTGGAGCTGGAGCGGCATAAACGGGAGCTGGAGCTGGAGCAGCGTACACGGGAGCTGGAGCCGGAGCAGCGTAAACTGGAGCTGGAGCCGGAGCAGCGATCTCCTGGGCGGGGGGCAGGTAGGAGGCCACGGGAGCAGCAATCGGAGCAGCCACTGGAGCGGGCACATCGATGGGAGCGTAGGCGGGACCAACGGCGGGAGTAGCGACAGCCGAGTGCTCATGGATCACACGCACCACCTTGGTGGCACCACCGGAGGAGTAGCCACCCGAGGAGTAGCCACCGGAGGAGTAACCACCACCGCCGGCGGAGTAACCACCCTCCTCGTGGACGACCTTGATCACCTGGGAGACGGCACCGCCGGATGAGGAGCCACCGCCGCCGATGAAAGAGGGTCCGGCCACTGGTCCCGAGGCCACATTCACCACCTTGACGATCTGGGGCGCACTCTCCACCAGCGGAGCACTCACAATGGGCGCGGATTCCTGCAGGATCTTGATCACCTTCACGGAGGAGGGGGCGGGTCCAGAGGGCGGCAGGTAGACGGGTCCGGGAGCGGGTCCATGTCCGTGACCACCGCCGCCGCCGCTGCCGCCAGAGATGACCTTCACCTTGAAGACCTGGGGAGCAGCCTCGTATCCGTAGCCACCGCCATAGGAGCCGCCGGAGGAGTAGCCGCCGGAGTAGCCGCCACCGCCGCCGCCTCCCTGCTGGTGGATCACCTTGACCACCTGGACAGGGCCATGGCCTCCGTGTCCACCGCCGTGGCCGCCACCTCCGTAGCCACCTCCTCCGTTGCCACCGCCTCCTCCATTGCCACCCAGGCTGATTCCGGCCTTCAGGCTGGCACCACCGCCTCCGCCGCCGCCACCACCACCGCCGCCTCCGAGGAGACCCAGAAAGCCAGCGTTGGCCACAGCGAACAGAGCACACATGCAAACGAAGACCTGCAATAAAAAGTACAATTAAATAAAAGCAAGTTAAAATATAAGGAGAAATTTGAATAATTGGATCCTTTGAAAAGTTATACTACTGCTACTTATAATCTTAAGATAATACTACACTTTATCTTAAGATTCTAATTCCAAAACTGGAATATTTTAGATTATTTTTTAAGAGCTGTGTTCTTTTTTTAACATTAAAACAACGATTTTTTGTGTAAGAAATGTTTAAATGGAAGTTTGGCTTGTTGAACATTTTTGAGTAATTATAAAATTTGTTAATATTTGCTTTGTTTGTAATTTGCACTGTTTTAATTTGTATATTTTTTTAATCACTTTTAGAACAAAAAAAAATTAAGGACTCAGATTTGAAGTCCAATTTAGATTTGCAACTTTGTCACAAGCTTTGATAATTTGTTAACGTGTTTTTCAAGCACTTGTTCGCATTTAGTTTGCTTTTGAAAAAAATATGTTCCTTGTGTTCACAGGATGTGTGGAGCAGCTCACCTTCATGCTGACTACTAATCCACTTGGTGCGATGATACCAATTCCAAAAAAAAACGCCTTAAGTGCCGATGAGCAGCGACTGATGTCCGATCGATCGGAGAGCTAGTCTTTTATACGATGTAAGCCATCATTGGCGGACAAAAGGCGTTTCATTAACATTTCCAAACCACCCATCACCAGCATCATCAGCGTCGTTATTATCACGATGATCATCATGATGGGCTTTCGTTTTCATTTTCACTCGATGCTGCTGGACGCACCCAAAAATCCACATCCACATCCAAAACGAAGTTCTTCCGTTGCCAATGCCATTTCGTTTCGGAATTCAGATATATGCGAGATATCTAGTTTTCAGTTTCGTCAAGCCAAGTCAAGTTATTCGGTGGGTTATTCGGTGGGTTATTCGGTGGGTTATTCGGTGGGTTATTCGGTGGGTTATATTCGCTGCATTTCCGAAATTCCGAAAGGGGCTCCCACAATTAGCATGAAAATGAGACGCTGCGTTTGTGATAAGCCAACTCTGGCTTTCATATTTATTTTTTCTCTTTCGGGGCTTATGTTTTAGGTTTAGGTTTTCGTTTTCATTTTGGTATCGATGTAATTTGCATACACGGGCGCTGCAGAGATTGGTTGCTTCATAAGGCGGCCGGCAGTCTGTCATAAACCGAGGCGAAAAAAAGCGAACCCAACCCATCCGGCGATTTCAAGGTGAATCTGTTGAATCTGTTGTCAACCGACTGGCGACCCATCATTGATGAGGGCCATAAAGGGAGCCACCAGCCAGCCAGCCAGCCAGCTATCCATTGGATTATGCAAGGCCCCTCCAGTCGCATCTTTGGGCCATGTAAAACGCATTATGTCGGCCCATTTAGCATAAGACGTTGTAAATTGGCCAACGGGGCGGTTCAGTGATGACTGCCGTCGAACTAGGCGCATTTCAAATTAATTTTTGGCCATTGTCATATATTCATTAAATATGCCTTTCTCATGGAAAGTGGTTAAAACAAGTGGTTTATATTGGAAAACATACATTGTTTGGGTTGTTTCCTGGGAAGATAGAATATTGTAATTATTTGATAGCCACAAGTAACGATTTTCATTAAAGAACATTTTTAGTATATGCATTTCTTTTTGTACCTGGAAATGTAAAATAATTTTCAAAGTGTACCCTAATTAATTAACTAATACCGTGCCCACAAACACCTCCGTTTTCACTAACCAAAGCGGATCAGTTGCCCTAAAACAAGTGTGGGAAACCAAGGGACGGAAAATCGGAATATAAACATCCAAAGGTTGCCAAACCTGCACTCCACTGATCGTGATTATGATCTTGTCTCGCTATATTATGGCTTGTTAATTGATCCATGCATGGAATGCAGTGGAATGCAGCCGTTGAGGAATATCTTAGTGGATCTTCAGTCTCGAAACAAGTTTTCCTCGAGCTTGAAATGCAATTTACGTTTTGAAATTGGTGTAAAAAACTTGCATGGTTGGAAAATATACATACCTATTTTTTTTTACTACCTTTTGTTTTTAATAAATCATCCCTAACCCATTATCTGTGTAACCCATCCATCAAACGCCTCAAAACCTTATTAAATTGATTATTAATTCGATCTATTACGAGTTTAATTTACTTACAAAAAAATCAAAAAAATCTTCGGGTAAGCTTATTTAAACCTGTTTTTGTACACCTTTAGTTTCATCTAATTGAGAAAAACACCTTCTTCTGAAATTCCTATAATATTTAAGTAATTTACTCATAAGTTTAGTTATATTTTCGTTTTATTCGGAGTGTAATTTGGGTAGAAAAAAAGAAGATGGGTGGTTGTCCGGCATCCAAAGATTTACTTCTGCTTCAACCAACCGCCGTAGGATTGGACAAGTGGGGCATCGTAGACGGCAGCGTGTCCAACGCGAACCACGGAGGGCACCACCGGGACGGAATCGATGACGGGCACATGACGCACCACCGGAACGGTACGCACCACCGGGATGTGGCGCACCACTGGCACGGATCGCACCACTGGAACGGATCGCACCACCGGAACGGATTGCACCGGCGAGTAGATCACGCTGCTCTGGGCGAGAGCCACCAAGGCGGCGATCAGGAGGCTGGCGATGAAGAACTGGAACAGGAGAATATATATCACTAAAAACAATATCCGAAATTTAACGATATAACAAGAAAAAAATATCTCTTGTATATTTAAATTTTTGAAATGTAACAATGAAGAACCAATTTTTAGTTTCCCACGGCTTCACTTTATTTTGTGAGTTTGGTGACTTTGATTATTTCTTTTTAATTATTTATGTACCAACATTTATTCGACAACTTGGTCAAATCAATTTAATTGATTTTAATAAACATTCCTGAAATATTTTAAATTGTGCTTTAAACCATGCTGCAATGAAACTCGACATTTTAGTGCAGGTGATAAAAAACCCGAACTATTAGTAATTATACCACCTTAATATTGCATCATAACTTTTCACACACAAAAAAAATTAAAAAAAATTGATGTGATGATTTTTCTAACACTTGTATTTCACAATATTTTTTGACACGTTAAAGTAATAAAATGTTGTTGGTCAAAGTATCCTTAATCCTTTTGGCTTCACACTCACCTTCATTTTTCTGGGAGTGGTTGGTTTTTAGTTATTCTAGCTTGAAGGCTGGATGATTTGTGCTGAAGTCTTGGAAGTTACGAAGACCTTATATACTCGTAGCGCCTAGAATCTCGAAAGTAGATCAATAAAACTGGCCAAAAAGAACGTATACGGATGCTAATTTGTGCGGGGTCCGTTTAATTGTGCTCATAATGGGGTGCCATTATCATTGATATTTACCCGAGATGATCGAACAATGTGTGTTGAAGTCATAACTTATTTGGAGACGCCTTTCAAATCCCAAGAACAATGAGAACTTGTTCCTCCTGCGACAGGTGATCATCTCACCTGGCGAATTTCCGCACTATTGATGAATTCTTGTGCAAATTGATTGCTTCATAAACGTTGTGGGTTTATTTTTTCAACCAGCGCGTGTGAGTGTTTCTTCTTCTGTTTTATTTTTATTGTTTTTTCTATTTTGGCCAAACATTATTTATGAGCCATTGTCCACGCCCTATTATGCTTTTAGGTCCACCGAAAATTATGCAGATTTATGCAAAATCCAGTAATGCTTCCTCAACACAAAAAGCGCAAATAAAAATATTGTTTGCTTTTGCTTTTATACTTATATTTTCAGTGGTCAATGGTTTGGTTTAAGTTTTAAACCCATAGTAAAAGCTATTTTTTATGTTTCAAATTAAATGTTTTTCTAAGCTACCGGATTTTCATATATTTTTAAAGCACTAATAAGAGTTATCTTTTGAATGTTTCAATAGATGTAAAATACTATTATTTTCTAAATTTAAGTTACATGTTCTTATTGTTTTTCAATCATAATTTTATTTGTTTGTAGTTTGTACGAATTTACATTTTTTATGTGGGTTTTTGTTTAATAAACATTTATGTTAATCGGTTGTTGGTTTTCAAACCGCTTTCTCCTAGACAAAACGGTAAACATAAACAGCGAATGGCCTTTGTTTTAGTTTTAAGATCATCATGTGGAGCACAAATATTGTCTAATTTTGTAAGTAATTTATTTCTCAACTTGAGTTTTAATTTAATTTCAAATGCGTGGGCGTTACGACAGCGCTTTGCAGCACTGCTTTTCGTACGCTTAGCAACACTAAAACCAAGCCCACGCACAGCTGTTTACATCTCTCCATCTCCCTCGCACGCTTTTCGCTGGGCTGTGAATTTCTTTTTTTTTTGTGTATTAAACAAATTGTTTAAACAAGTTGCAAAGTTACGGCCTTAATGGCGGTGTAATCCAATATCGGTTGTAAACAACAAGTTGTGGGCGGGAAGTGTAGCATAAACATTTCGGGGGATGCCATTTGCAACATGAAAGCGACCAATCAGCGAGGCAACAACAACAACATGGCGCACCTGCAACAAAATTCTTCATGTTGACGTCAACAAAGTGAAATCCGAGCAATAAAACCCGAAGATAAAGTGCGAAAGGAAAGAAAGGAGCCACCTAAACGGATAGCAAGGTGAAGAGGAGCCGTCAAGGAGGAGCAGGAAGAGAAGCATCCTATCCAGGACTTCCCACCCAACCATGTACTCCGAGTGGGCCTCGCTGTCCGCCCAAATCACGGCCAACAGTTGTGGCGCCCAGTGCTTCAGTGTCCTCAACAAGTTCCCCGCCTCCGCAGGACGCGAAGTGGTCGTCTCGGTGGTCAAGCAGCTGGGCACCAATCTGGGGATCACCCAAAATGCGGAGCCCAGTCACCTGGTCAAGGATGAAGAGGTGGGTTAAGGGGGTTACCACTGGGTTGACATGGTTTACGAAAAGAGAAAGAAAAATAGGATATATGTTCATTATGACCATACCATTATCATTTTGATATGAGAACTGTAAATAAGATCTTCAAAGGATCATATATGGCTATGTTCATATCAGATATTAAAGATAACTTTTTTGAAAAGGGGTTCACAATTTAAATTGGATCAATATTTGCAACATTGTTTTCTTAAATAAATATTAATCGCTTTTTAAATTTAATTGCGCACAAAAAGCTTCCACTAACTGCATGCAATTGTGCATATAATTATTTTTGCAAGGGAAATTAATATTCGTTCATGGTGGAAAGGAAATAAAACTAGTGTTCGTTTAATGTAGAAAATATATTTATAGAAAGCATAGGTAGTGTACTGGGAAAACTGAATAAAATTTGTAATTGAGAACGCGTTTTAGAATCTTGAGATCATGTTTTTAATCAATATCAATTGTTTACCAACTTCTTTAGAAGTACAATGACAAGCCTATTAAATCCCTCCTTGAATTCCAGGTAAAATGGTGCATGGACGTGATCTGCTTTGGACTTTCGCTGCCGCTGCAGGAGCACGAGACAATCAAGGACTGCGTGAACGTGTACTGCGAATGGCTGACGGCGCTGCATCCGCAGCCGAGGATCAGTGTCCCCAAGCCGATCTGCGAGGATGCCAATTTGTATGCCCGCCAGATCATCAACCACTTCCACAATCTGTTTGTGCCGCGACAGGGTGAAAGTAAGTTGGGTCCACTATCCACCTGCATTTATAGTTATTGTGCTGACCCGTACCCTCTATATTAATCCCCCTCTGAATTTCAAGTCTTGCCATTTCTATACCAAACCACGCTTGGTAGGTTGCTCGAATTGTTTATTTTTGGAGTGCTTCTCTGGAAAATAGTGCCTTAAACTACAAGAAACAGTTAGATATACTTGATGTTCTTAGGCAATATTTTTCGTGAGAATGCAAATGAACTCGTTAAACATTTAAAACCAAAACTAATGCTAATCTTTTATGGTTTGTAGGTGCAGATACGATTAAGCGGCAGGCAGTGCTCTGCCATCGGGTGCTGCGAACTCTACAACAAACTGCCCAGATATCGCAGCTAATGGATCGGCAGACGTGGGACACTCTGCTCCTCTTCCTGCTGGCCATCAATGAGATCCTGCTGGCTCCACCGACCGTTAAGGACGATGTGGGTGACCAGCTGTGTGAGCGAGTGCTCTCCGTGCTCTTCGAGGTCTGGCTTTTGGCCTGCGTGCGCAGCTTTCCCTCGCCGTCGATGTGGAAAACGTTACAGGAATCCTGCGCCATGTGGCGACATCGTGTGGCGCTTGTAGACCAATGGAATCGGGTGAATCTGGCACTCACCGCTCGCCTGCTGGAATTCAGCTATGGTCCTGCATTTCCCCAGCTCAAAAATGGTGCGTTTGGATAGCATATATCTGTATGAAAACTGTATATAAACATATCATCTTGTATTCTTTCAGCTGACGAGGATGGTCAACTGATACCCATTGGCATGTCCAATGACTGCGTGGCGCAGACTTGGTACCGCTTCCTGCGGATGATTGGCAACCCGACGGCCCTCTGTTCACCACATATCATCAGCAAATCGTCGCACTTTGTGCAGTGGGCCTTGACCCATGAAAAGGGCGCCGAAACGCATCAGCATCCGTGTCTGCAGCAGCTGCCGCAGATATTCCTCAATGCCATGAAGGGAATCTCCAGCCAAGTGGACGCTTTTCTAGGTAAGATTCTGGCAGAGGATGGTGTATTGTTCCTTAAAAAACCCTGGTACTCCTAGCTATTTATTGATGTGGTATACAAAGAGAGGGTATAGAAAGCTTTTAGCAATAACTAAACTGAAAATTCCTTAGAATCCATTTTTGTGTAATTACATAGGATGAGAAACATCTCTTGTACCGGGTTTGTAATGGTCGGAAAACCCGACTTGGCCGCTTCTACATAAGTGTGTAGCATTAGTTTTGTGGGTAGGCTAGCTCAGTACTTCTACATTTTCTCTTTGGCTCTCGCTTTCCCCATTTAAATTTTGTACCTAACCGAAAATGCTAAAATGCGTAACCGAAACATGCGAAAACCAGGCGTTTATCAGCCGCCGGCGCAGCAAACGGAGGGTGTGGTGACCAACCTGCTGGAGATCCGGCACTCCCTCAACGAGGCCACCTCTTCGACCCTGCAGCAGTTCATCCACTCGAGCAGCTCGACAAACATAGCGAATCAGCACCAGAATCAGGCCAATCATCATCACCATCACCTGCACTATCCGCATTTGCATTTACATGGCGCCGGCAGCTTTCTGCGCGACAACTTCATGAGTAACTCGGCCAGTTCCGCTCTGAATGCGATAATGGGACACCATGGCAGTCACCACCATCATCATCATCAGCAGCAGCAGCAGCAGCAGCATCAGCATCAGCAGCTCCAGATAAGTGCCTCGCCCACCAGCAGTTTGTCAACGGCTGGAGGCTCCGCCGTGGGCAGTACAAGTGCCGGAGGAAGTCACTCCGCCGGAGTCGTCGGCAGCATCTCCTTTGGCACCACCGATTCGACCGGACTGCCCGCCTCTGCCACGCCCACGCCGCCTCTGCAGAGGCGCTTGGCCAAGAGCTTCAGCGTTGCGCCGACCATCACACAGCAGAAGGGTGCGACTCTCCGCGGAGAATCTCTATTTGGAAACCACCGAATGTTGTGCTCTTTGTTGTCACACCACAAAAGTATTCTAACCTTGCCCTGGCAGAGGGTGTGGGAAACTTGAAGTGTAACTTGCGTCCTGTTCTTAAATATTCATTGAATTGCTGAGTATCTTGGGTGAGCAGTACTTAAAAGTCCAAAGGTACAAAATTTCCGAATTGTCTGTCAGAAATATATTTTCTTAGGATGTAATTCATATTAAAAGAATTATTGTAATGATTAATTGATTTAAAGCTTCAAGATATTTAAATTTAGAGGATAAATATTAACAAACATAAGAAGTTCATGAGACGACTTACCTTTCTAAAAGTTGTAGACCCCGAATTCCTATTTTATAACCCTTCTGCCAGGGAATCTGAACTTCGGTGCACCGAAGCCAAGCTTTAGTTATACTATATTTTTTTTTGCCATGGCGTGCTACTGAATTGACTTGACTTGGTTTGTTTTGCTTGCCTAGATGTTGTTTGCCTTGATCCATCGCCACATTTCTCCCAGCCAAGTTCGCACTCACGAGTTTTGCATTTTAGCTTTTCTTTGGTTTTATTTTCTTTGGCATTATTATTCTAGTTGTTGTTTCTTTTTTTTTTTTTTTTTTGTATAATTTGTTCCGTAGCATGAGTGGAATAATCTCGGTGTAATTGCCCGGCGCTGATGAGTCGGGCCGAGTAACTGTTGCCACTTTCCACCGGCGGATTATGCATTGTAATTTATCTCCGAACGCCCACAATTATATTATATAGCATGCTCCCTTTGTATCTGTATCTCTCGTGCGCCGCGTATCTGTATCTAATTTCTCTAACAATTTCTCACACTTGCCGTGCACTGTGCTCTGTGCTCCACTCACCCAACTCCTCGCCAACATCGCATCACAACGCAGGCTTGAGCAAGACCTCGCTTATTGGGCTCACCGGCGGCGGTGCACGCAACGCGATCACCGGCAGCAGCAGCGGCAGCACCACCGCCTCCAGCGGCACCGCTGCGAGTGGCACGACCGCCACTGGAGGTGTCGCCTCCTCCGCGTCCGCCATCGGTGGCTCGGCCGGTGGAGCGGGCATCCCCGCCGGCGCGGGAATACCCACGGGTGTGGGAGCGGGAGCGGGCAGCGGATCCGCTCCTGCTGCGGCGCCCACAACTCCCACGTCCACTTCGGGTCCGCCGTCGGCCAGCAGCAGCATCAACTGTAAGTGCACCGTGGCAAAAGGGCTCCCAACTTGGTTCATGTGGGTAAAATCTGTAAAATACGTTGACGACTTGAAAATCCATCTAAAAAACATTAAAGGAACTATTCGATGATGAATTCATTCATAGATAGCCTGGTTTATATCATATACTATCATATTATGAAAGAGGTTTCCTAAAACGTAATTCAATTCAAATCAAAATATTTTTTTCATTAAGATCAACAATTGGCAATAAAACAGTTTTCTTTTTAAATGGTAATATATTTATTTTTTTGAAATGTGAAACTAAAATTATATCACTTATGAAATGAAATAATTGACTTAACATTCATCCCATTACATATTTGAAAAGCGTTATGAATACTTTGAATTGTCTTTAATGAAATAGTTATATTATTAATTATTATATTTAAAATTAACTTAAGATCATATGAGCCAAGATAAAGCTAGCGTTTCCAAGCCAAAAGTTCCACGATAAAGCCCATCTTGGGATGTTTATATTTGAACTAATTGGATCTATTGTTTTGTGTGTGCTGTGTGAACCGTTTGTGAGCTTCTCCCGCGCCGCCTAACAATCTAACAGATGTTTTAACCGCCCCCCAATTGCCATCGCCGCCTCTCTGTCTAACGCGATCTGCTCTCCCCCTCTCTCCCACTATGTCTCTCTGCCTATCTGTCTATCTGTCTGGCTCCCTCCGGCGGCGATCGCAGCTCTGCCGCTGACTTCGATGGGAGCGGGCGTTGAGTTGGCCGTGGCCAGGCCCAAGTGCAACAGCATTCTCCACGTATTCCACGAGTGGCTCTTCGAGGCGGCGCACATCGGAGGCGACACTTGGCGCCAGAACCGCAAGAGTAAGTTCCGGTATCCGGATTCAAAAATATTATTCTTTTTTATTCTGAATTATTTTGTGAATGCTGAAATATGAGAACGAGTTTAGGAACTATACTAGAGCTACTTAAAAAGTCATTTAAAGCTTCATAATTAGAACATGCCTTTAAAGCTTGTTTTTGTGAAAGAGTTTAAATAGCTAGAGTTACTTTTTACTTTTTGTTGTGAAATTTAATTGGATACTTAAAAGAGATTTATTTCACAAAGCTTACATTTGAAAATAACAATTTTAAACTATGGTTTTCTAAATAGTAAGTACATTTCTTCTATGGATTGTACTATTATATTAATATTTGCATAGTTTGCTTGAACTAAATTTAATCATTTAAAGAAATTTACTTCTTTTAAAATTACTTTAATTTCACCTACAAAATAATTGTAAATTATATATAAATAATTTGAATATTTATTGTTTTTATTTATGTGCGAATATTTTTAAATTATAACTAACTATTTAAGTTAATCCCTCTCTTTATTCATTTCCCCCATTAAAACAGAGCAAGCATGCGAGGCCAGTAAGCGGCCATCGTCGATGATCATGGAGCACCGCAAAGGATCGATTTCCCTGTCGCAGCCGAACTCGCTGAACGATCCACAGTCGCTGCCGCCCACTTTAACCATTGACAAGTATGAATCCGGAAGGGCGGAGGCCATTGGAACGCTGTGCAAAATCTTCTGTGCGAAGAAGACGGGCGAGGAGATCCTTCCCGTCTATCTGGCGCGATTCTACATGGCACTGCAGCAGTGCCTGAAGATCACGGAGTCGCGGGAGTGCGACGAAACGCTGGCCAGCATCCTGCTGCACTCAAGTGACCTTTTCCGTTTGGATCTCGACGGGATCAATGTGCTGCTGCCGGGCTTCATTGCCGCCTTGGAAATTGTGCTGCCCGACAAGGATCTTAAGCTGAAAACCCAGTCGATGGTGTTCAATCGCACCGAGCTGCGTCGATCGGCCATCAATATACTGCTATCCATTATGGTGCTGCCTTTGCATTATCAAACGTTGCCCATTAGGGATTTAACCAGCGAAACGAGCGAGAAGTGAGTGGTGAAATTGGCGCTAAACAATTTAGTTTAACATATATTTATTAATCATCTTTTAATCTTACAGAATGTTCACCTTCATTCAGCTGAAGTCGCGACTCATGAACATCCTGATGAACGCACTGCAGGTGGAAACGGATGCCCAAAACACACACATGCTGCTGGGTGGTTTGCTCCTCTGCGTCCAGGATGCCGTCACCTTTGAGGAAACGGAACTGGGCGGCGGTGGAAATGCCAGCCTCTCGCACAATTCCAGTGGAGTGCAGCACCACGAGACCAATTTGCTGAGTTCCGGTTAGTTTTTCCCAAGCTCCCAGGGAATATCTCCCACTTGATCTCATTCGATTTCATTTTGATTTGTTTTAATTTGTGTTTATTTAATTGCTCTTGTTTTTTGATTCGCATTTCCCTTGGGCATTTTTGTGTTTTGTCTGCTGGCGAATGATCAGCGTGCTCGGAGCGTTCCGCTTCGCTGGTCAGCGCTGGCACAGCCAGCTTGGGCGGCCAGACGACGGCCACCATGGGAGCGGGATCGGGCTCCATTCGCGACACCGCCTCCGCCCACGACTACCCCAGCCTGACCATTTCCGATGACATGTCATTCGAGTTCGGCCAGGAGCTGGAGGGCGTGACCACCTATGGTAAACTATGTTTATTTTTTGATTTTTTAAGGGACTTTCAAGGGGTTTTTTGTGCTGTGATTTGATAAGTTCGAAAGTAAACTAAGGAAGTAAAGGGTTTTTGTATTGCATTAAATAAGTTGTATATATTTTTTATGTGAACTTATTTAACATTATAATAATAATTATATTTATTTACTTAAAAACTGATATAAAAACTAATCCTAATAAGATGCAACTATTGTTTCAATCTAATATGTAATATATTTTACATTTTTCTAGATAATGCCCATGCCTTATTTGTGCGTGCGACGTATTTGGTTTGTCATCGACTGATTTCGTCGTGGAAGACGGATCTTAATGTTTCGCTGGCCGCCTTGGAATTGCTTTCTGGTTTGGCCAGGCTACATATCCGGGAAACAGGTAGAGTGTGCTCCTCTGGATTTTGCATGTGATTTTGGTGTACCAAGTGCTCCTGCAAAGGGATTTTTAAGCCTTTATCAACAAAGGGAAAGCTTCAATCAAAAATAACTCATTAAAACTCTGTCATTAAATCAAGTTGTTTAGGGTTTTCAAAAGGGGTTTCCATTTTACCACCATAATTCAAGTGTTTATTTAATTTATTGTACAAATAATCCTTAAAAAAAGGAATTCAAACATTCAAATCCTTTGCAAGTGCATAAATTGCTTCGGTTGCACCGAGGCTGAAATTCCTTTTCTGATTTTAATGTCGTTTGTTTTCTGTCCAACTCTGTTTGTTTATTTTCGAACTGTAACCATGTGCGTATATTCTTTAAATGTTAACCCTCGGTGTACAAAAACCCAACCCCAAAACCTTAACCCTTTTAACTGTTTGCTTAACTGTGCAGCCAGGAAATTTACAAATGGTAATTGATTGACGAAGCCAACTAACCTAACTAACGCCACTTTCTTCTGTCTTTCTTTCTTTCTTTTTTTTGATGCGTTTCTTTTTCTAACCGCCATCGAACCCGCACCACCACCACTGCACCACATCCCGAAAAATAAACCCCAAATATAACAATTTGACCCACCAAATCATCCACATCGCCACATCATCCACATCAATTCACGATTTACGATTCACGATGATTGCAATTTGTTTCTATATATAATATATAACACATATGTATATGTATATTTAATTTGCATATCCAAAACGATAACGATAACGAATGTATATAACCCACCAAATAAACCACCTCATCCAAAACCGCCCAACCGTAGACACCTTAGTGAAAATATACGAAGCTAGTCAGAATCTAACGATAATCTCCTCAGACGCTCTAGAGTGCAAGCGGGCCGTCAAGTGGATCTGTGACTATATCTGCTACCAGTGCTCCCGACCGCCGCCGGCGCACAGCAAGGACCTGCACAGCACCATTGTGGCGGCATTCCAGTGCACCGCCGCCTGGCTGATGCAGCATCCGTATCTCCTGCAGGACAAGGATTGCCTGCAAACGGTGCTCGAGGTGGTGGAGCTGGGAATTTCCGGAACCAAGAGCCAGAGCAAGGGCACCGACATCCCCAAGTTCAAGGACGAAAAGGAACTGAAGCCGGCTTCCATGCGAGTGCGAGATGCTGCCGAGAATCTCCTGACGATTATCCTCGAGCAGGTGGGCTACTTCCCCAGTGAATGTGGTCCCGAATCCATTTCCTCGCTGCTGGACGAACTCGCCCTCATGAAGCACTGCAATTCCATGGTTCCGGCAGCGGCGGCCAGCAGCGAGCAGGCGATTGCCAAGTTCAAGTACTTTGTCACCGAGAACTCGACCATATTGGCGCTGCTGGAGGAGCCACTCGGCAATGACCAGGATCCACAGCCAACGGTGACTTGTAAGTCGTATATATTTAATATATATAAATTCAACTTACTAATGAGTGTACATCCTCCTTTCTTCAGTACTTATACGCGGTCCCTTTGGACGACATGCGTGGACCATGCAGCTGCGTCATCTTCCCCGCAGCAAATCCGGCATCAAGTACCATGCCGTGAATCCCGGAAGACCCATACCCATGAACGATGTTACCCAGCGACCGGACTGCGAGCAGAAGCACTTTCCCGACGGCGTGGACAAGGTTCAGCCCTGCGTGGCCGACTATTCCATACCGACAATCGAGCAGATGCGCGAGCAATATGGCACCGCTAGTATTAGGGAGCTGGAATCGATGCTGGAGAACCAGAGCATCCACGAGAAGCTCGCCTGGGCGGAGGCGGACACCAGTGCGGATAGCCTGTCGCATGCGCAGGAATGCGTGCCGCCTGCCGTTTGCCATGAGTTCCATGCGGCGCGTCTGTTCCTCTCGCACTTCGGCTTCCTTGGCTTCGAGACGCGCAATCCACACAATCCCGCCGAGGCGCTGGGCAATCCCCCGCAGCGACCGCTCATCGTGCTGGACACCAAGTCGACGGCCTTCGCCGCCGATCTGGATCGACTGGACAAGCTGAGTGCCAGGACGCACGACACCGTCTATGTGTTCTATGTGAAGGTAGATCGACCTTATCTTTAATAATTTATGAATTAGGTACCAATTTGTATTTTAATTTACAGTCTGGCCAAACGAGTGCCCATCAGATCATCGGGAACATGGGTGAGGAGCAGTCGGCCAGTCATGATCCGCATTTCGCCACCATGCTGCAAACACTTGGTTGGCCCGTTCAGGTGGCAGAGCACTCCGGCTGGACGGGATTCGCGCACAACTCGTGGTCGCTGAAGGGAACGCCCGAGGAGCCGCTGAAGTCCACGGCCAGCGAGCTCAACTACAATGGCTCGCAGCGGGTGCTCTACTGGGCGGATGTCTCCTCGGAGATCGCCTTCGTGGTGCCGACGACGTGGAATCTCCGCCACAACAGCGACACCAGCGATGGTGGCAGCATCTCCAGCACGGATCAGATTGGCTCCAGCAATGTTTGGTCGCGCGGAGAGGCGGAGAGTTCGTCTGGCTTGGCGAAATCCAAGTCGAGGAATCTTAGCCTGGAACTGGACACAAATCGCAGGGATGCTAAGGAGCCAGTGCCGCCGACGCGGCGAAAAGGAAACGTGACGAAGCCCACTTTGTTGGCTCAAGCGCCTGCGAAGATCTTCCTGGTTTGGCTGGAGAGCTACGAGGATTACCTCAACTTTCCGCTGGAGGATTTGCTGGCCTACACGCGAACCGGCGAGGAGCTGCACACGCTGCAACTGCCGCGTGCCTCCGACTGTCACGTGATCTTCGTGCACTCGCTGCTCTCCGGATTGCTGAGGGTGAAGCTGCAGGGTCCGCCGGGCAGGATGAGCTTCGCCACGCCGCTGGTCGATGGCATGGTCTTGAGCAGGCGGGTGGTCGGCAATCTGGTGCGACAGACGGCATTAAACATATCTCGCCGAAGGCGACTGGACAATGATAAGTGAGTGGAATATGATTACCTATTGCATTCATTCCTTATTAAACCCCAAATCCTTTTCATTAGCTATCAACCACCGCATGTGCGACGACGACTCAAGGTGCAGGACATTGTCCAGAAGTACAAAATGGATCTGAGCGAGGCCGAGCTGCTGGCCCATCTGTTTCAGCGTGCAATTTAGCCGGCTAATTCGTGCGAAAGTATTACTATTAACCCGATACCTAGGATAAGTGCCAGCGCGAGTGGTTGGTTCCAATTGTCCAATTCCCTGTCTGTATTAACGTGTGCTTAACTAAAATGGAAACCCACAAACTGATTCGTAATCGGTGTCCACTGAGTGTTACCCGGAACATAATCGTATGCTAATTATTATTTTTTGCTAATAAATCGAATTATACTTTGTAAAAGTATTTGTAATATTATAAGTCTTGCGTTTTTGGCCTGGTTATGTCGGGCTATCTATCCGTTCAAGCTGTGAAGCGGAAACAATGGGTGATCCCGTGCCGTGTGTATTCACATAATTGGCAGCCACATCCGAAATTCATTTGGATCGCAGAGGAGGGGGCCACGAAATGGAGGTGATCGCGTGATGAATGTTGAAAGTGAAAGTAAGTCGTGAGTGGGAGTGATCCTATTGGTTGTTGGCTTGAAATGCATTGAAATTCTTAAACATTTTAAATATAGCTGTTTTATTCTTTTATTTACTAAAAGGTTTATTAAAGGATCATTAACATAGATCTTTCAATATTATACTTTATTAAAATATTTGATATGATATACGATATAGTTTCTAATGATATTTTTTCTTAATAAAGTTGGGACTTTTACTTTATATCGTGCGATTTTTAACAATCAACATGCAATTTGAAAGTTTCAAATTTAACGCCTAAAAATGTTAGATAACATTAAGTTAACATTGATTTTAATTTTTAATGTTAATGTAATGTAATGTAAATGTAATGTTAATTACATTAACAAATCGCCACGTCAGCGGCAATGTTAATTAAATAATTTTTACATATTGTTGCATCTACAATTCCCAAGTGGTTCTGGTTGGATCTTAGTGGGATAGGGGTTGATTTTGGTGGATTCCTCAGTTCTCCGGGATGACCGGCAGTCTCTCTGAGAAACTGTTTCCGGTTTTTGGAAGTGTGTGTGTGTTTGTGAAGTGGTTCCTTTTACGGGACTCCACTCCAGGATGCAGTGCATCGTCACCTGACTTGGTATGGATTTTTGAAATGTTGCAGATGCTGCTGATCCCTTCCTGCTTTTAGTGGCCCATAGGATGCACTGTCCCCAAACCCAATAAGGTCAGTACCATTTTTTTAAATTTTGTAATGACGTGGGCGTGTAAAAGCCATTTAAATACATATTTAAAATAGCTTGTTCGGCTATGCATTTTTGTACCCTTGCAGAGAATGTTATAATTTCAGAATTCTTTAATAATTCCATCAAGATATGATTTACTTGAATATATTTTTTTTAATAAAATGAATTCGAAATTCGTGAGTGAAAGGCTTTGACCTCACGTTCGCATCTCTTGTGATCCACAGCATCGCGGTAATTTCACCTTTGACTCGGGAGTCTGGGAGTCGGAACTGGAATTGGAATTGGGTCCGGTTATCGGGGCTCGGGTGTTTGGACCCACGTGTGGGCCCACCATTTCGCAACGCCTCCGTCGGGCAATCAATTCAAAACTAAACTGTTGCTGGCCGAGGGCCATCTCGTCATCATCAATGAAAGTCGTGATGTAATCGCATAACACGTTACAAATTTGTGGCCGGTTTTGCATATGTTTGGGCCATTTATCTATTAACAAATAATGTAAGTTAATGATGAAGAGGCCGCCGATTGCCTGCTCTTCGCTTTTCTCGAGATTTTCTCAGCCTTGAAAATGAAATTGGGTAAACTTAACGTTTCGTTGAAGATCATCATCTATTACCTAAAACCGTTATGAGGTCTTTGTTTATTTACAAATAAAATTAAATGTAAGCTTTTATTTGTCTACAAATAATTATGGTTGAGGCAACTGCTTTTAAAATAACTAAAAGTGATGGTTTCCAAATACAGTAAATGGTGTGTTGTGATTAACTTTTTAGTTGGAAATAATTATGGGAAAGATTTTGCCCTGAAAACTTGCACTTGAACTCAATTGTTGCTTGAGTGCTGTTGAGTTATTTGTTTCCTCATAATTAATTTAAGTTAATTGTGAATTGAAGTCAAGTGGAATACTATTCGTGGGAATTTGTAACTCTTCATAAGTAAAACACGGAAAATTGTTTCAAAATGTTTTTATTAACAAATAATTTAGGTTAACAATGATGGATGTTTTGTTTATCTTTTTGTTTTCTGATAATGACTGTGAAGAATTAGCCTAGGAAAAAAAATACATAACGATAGGGATAGAAGATAGCGATAAAAAAAAAACAATTCATTTGGTCTAACTAACTAGGCGGGCGGGTTCGCAGCAGTGCGTCTACCAGGCGGAGGGTGGGCCACCGGAGCTCCAGCCACCGGAAGAGGAGCCTCCGCCACCGGAACTCCAACCTCCAGAAGAGGAACCACCGCCGGAACTCCAGCCACCGGAGGAGGAGCCACCGGAACTCCAGCCACCGGAGGAGGCACCACCTCCAGCACCGCCGGAACTCCAGCCTCCCTTGGCGCCACCACCACCGCCAGCCTGGGATTGCTGCTCCTGGACGCGCATCACCTTCAGAGTTCCACGCTGCACCACATGACCGCTTTTGAAGAAGGCTCCCTGCGCCTGGTCCGCCTTCAAAACGATGGCCTTGCCTTTGGAGCCGTAGGCGTTGATCAGCTGGCCATTGATGGCGTCCACACTGGATGCGCCGCCACCACCGCCGCCCAGGGAATCCTCCTGCAGCACCAGCTGGATGATCTGCGGCAGAATGGCGTTGAACTGCTGGGCATCGAAGGAGGAGGCGCCGCCGTAACCATGGCCGGAGGCATACGACTGGCCGTAGGAGTGCGAGTGTCCCTGGTCGTAGGAGTAGCCACCACCGGAACTCACTGCATGGTAGGCAATGGGCAGAGCTGGAGGAGCGGGTGCGGGAATCGAAATGGGAATGGGAATGGCAACGGGAGCAGGAGCTGGAGCCACTGGAGCCTGTTCGATGATCTTGAAGATCTGGGCCTGCTGACCGCCGTAGGAACCATGATCATGACCATGCGAGTGACCACTGGCATAGCTGTGTCCATGTCCATGGCTGGAGGATGCTCCTCCGTTGCTGTATCCCTGACCCTCTTGCAGGATCACCTTGATGATCTGCGCCGAACCACCGTGTCCATGTCCATGTCCGTGTCCACCTCCCTGGGAGTAACCATGACCCTCGGCATAACCGCCATGACCTCCGTGACCACCGCCATGACCACCGCCATGGCCTCCACCTCCTCCCGATGTGGGCGTGGCAATCACGTTGTAGGTGACCTTGCTGCCACCACCTCCTCCTCCGCCTCCTCCTCCTCCTCCGGCACCGCCGCCTCCCAAAAAGGAGAGGAGGGTGGCATTGCAGGCGCAGATGGTGGCCAACAGGCAGATGAAGACCTAGTTGTGTGTATGCAAAGTATAATCCGTTTTAGCCGCTGGTTAATCCACATCCGGCGCTTCCTCCATCACTCACCTTCATTTCGGCGTTAAACTGTTTCTGGTTGGGATTCGTAAAAAAAAAGTGGAATCGAAGTCGACACCTGTGCGTCGAACTGTTCCCGGCTAGCGAATGATGCCACTCTCCACTCGATCCAACGTTTTTATACAAGAGTTCCGTCCGGAGATCCACCGCAGAAACCGTTAGATGCCGCGATGGCCCGTGACGTCAGCGGCGGAGAGCCGTCGATGTGGAGTCACCACCGTTGGGCCAAAAGACCAAGCTGCTCTTGCAACTCACCTGAGATCTCAATGGGTCGCTCGCTACAGGGTGCTCGCTTCGAGGGAAAGAAAGCAAGTTGCAATGGGTCGGGTTGAAAGCCAGGAAGTTCAGGTGAGTGGATGGGTGTTAAAATGTTATTAATTTTTTTGAAGTAGGACACTTCGATAGGGATCAAATTAATCATATTATGGGCTTTACATATATATAGTTAATTGAGAAAAAGAAAAAATTTTAGAGTTGCATACGCTCTAAAATCCTATTCATTAATGGATCTTAAAGGTAGGTGTGGGTCATCATTTTTTAAAGCAAATCAATGGTAAATTATTATGATTGTAACAAGTGAAATATCTATAAAAAATACAATAACACCTGCTTATCTTCGACTTACGGGTTTAATTACCAAACAGTAACCAATAAAAAAACACACCCTGTTAGCCTCAATCGTCTTCATCTATTTCTTCAACTGCCCAAATCATATGCAACAAAAACAAATCGCCGGCGGACAAGCAACCAAAAACCAAAAACCAAAAACCCAAAACCAAAACACAAACAAAAACACTAACATAATAACAATAACAAATTCAAGCGGATAACACTATTTAACCAGTTAAAGCTTAAGCAGATGCGCTCCGCTCCGAAGAGGAGGTGCGTCGTAGGTCAAGTCACCGCAACGAACTGACCGGCTTTTTGCATATGATTATCGATTTGAACGGTCCGCTGCTTACACTGCAAATTAAAGGTGATATAGTAAGTTACCTCTGGTACTTTCCTGCCATATAAAAATAAATATTTCTTTCTAACAATCAGTAGATAAATTCATTAGTAAATGTTCTCAAGAAGAACATATCTGTTTTTTTTTTAGTGTCGTGTATTTCCTTCTGAATGTGCTCATATTTCTATACAAGTATTAGAAAGTATTAAAAATTTATTAGAAAGTACCTACTTCCTTTATATCCCAGTGTAAGTGCTCGTATTGCAACAGAAAATTTTGGGCTGGGAAGGGCCAGCAGTCGTGGATCGCGGATTGGCATCTCGGAATCCCAGGCAGCCGGATTATTATATCATGCAACATCGTTTTCAAATTTGTTAATTTTGTGTGCATTTTTGTATAAATTATTTAATGCGCGCTGTTGCGCATGCGCGGCAGCCCCAGTTTGCCATCTCTTTCCCTCTCGGCTCCTCGATATGCTGATGACCCGTTACCAGCACGTTTTTCGATGTTATAACTAAATAACTAAGGAAAACATATTGAAACTACAGTCGAACTTCTGCAGATTAAACGAAATTAATTGACCGTAGGCTCAACCTAATGGTCTCTTACAAATACTTGGGTTATTCAAAGTGCAAGATTGAGATCGTATGAAAAAATACTTTGCCGCTTGCCGACCATTTGCTTAAACGTTTTTTAATGGCCTAAATGTTCATAGGCAGTAACCCAAATGCATCTGTTAATTTGACTTTAAGTTGTTCTATTGTTAAGTTTTATTATGATTCCTTTGAATTATTGTTTCCAAGTCTTAATCTTCGTAGAAACTAATTATGTAAACCCGTTTCCTGTTCATTGCTGTATTTTATGCCTTAGTGAATCTCCACTGTGCATTTGGAAGCGATTGGAATTTTATCACCTCGATGTTTTTGTTTTTACAGTGGGACACAAGTGTTGTTTGTCCGCCGGGTGTCAAATCATCTTGTGTTGAGGCAGGCCGTGTTCCCAGAGTCCGGAGCTCTCTGAATGGTAATCGGAATTATCATAATACGCCTGATTTGACGTGGTGTGTGCAAATAGTGGCCAACTGATCAATGGGCAGTGCCGCGTGGTCCGAAATCGGCTTATGCAACCCAAAAATGTGGTTTACGATATGTCATATCTATTTAAATGTGTCGATTGAAATGTGTTTTGCCCAAAATTCCCTAGGCGACTGCATTTCAAATGACAATGCGGTGACTTAATCTAATAATGGGGCATTTTTTGAGTCATTTTTAGTTTCTGGGTGTTGTAAATATATAACTTTGTTAGTATTCATACGTAACTTCTAACAAATTGTTTTATTTAAAAAAAAAAAAATTTAATTTGAAGAATATGAAATATGTAATAATAAATTAAGAATAAGCTTCTTTTGGAAAACATTCCTAAACCGTTTGGTTTAAAAGAAACACGATTTCTTTGGTTGAAAGATAAGAGTTTTTATTTTTATATAATTTTTCAGTATTTTAGCTGTGTGGCTTTTTGCTGTTCTTTGTTGTTCTTGTTGTTGTTCGTTATTGTTATAACTTATTTTAATTAGCTTTTCGAAATATTAGTATTAAATGTGGTTTTAAAAGTGAAATGTAATCAATTTGCCCCTATCATCGCGCATTCGCACTGAATTGTATACGTACGTAATCAAGAGGTTCGTTCGTCTGTTATTTATTAATTGGTTTTCTAGTAACTTTGCAAAATAATACGAGCGGTATTGCAGTATTGCTTGTTTATGTACTCTGTATATATTCTTATCTAGGGCATTATGCAAGCGTCTGAACTGGATTTTCTCCTTCGATTTCTAAGCAACCCTAGGCGACAACCCTGCAATTAATTATCGAAAATCTAAAGTAAAGCTGATTTTGTGTGTACACTGGTGCATTAACAAATGGTGATCGCAAGTGTTTGAAAACACTCGTCTCTCCTTTTTTATGTGTGTGTTGGGGGTGTGAGTGTGTGTGTGTATGTGTGTGTGTGTGTGTTAACGCTTGGCGTGGACTCAATTTGAAATCAAGTGTGTGTGAGCGAGTATTTTTCTCAGTGTACGGTGTATGGCTTTTATTTTTGAGTGTTATTAATGATCCTTCAAAATGTTTCCTCTATGCGAAGATAACTTACGAAGCTCTCTCGCGTGTATAATATAGTTATTTAGTTGTTTAAGTTAATATTAATATTTATTATTGCCAGTTTCGATAAGAAAATAATTTTAGGATATATTATTATGTATACGCTTCCATTATATCGTTCCTTGTTTAGTTATTGCAATTGTTATAAATATTTTTGGTTTGGTGTAAAGTAAAATTTGTTGACTAGATTTAATCGCTACTCTTCTCATTTTCTTAATACTTTCCGTTACGTTTTTACTTTGGTTTGCTGCATTTGCTTTCCTAAACATTTTTTTGTCAGTGTGGTGTGTCTGATTTTGTGTGTGTGTGTGTGTGTGTGTATATCTTCAACGGCATGAATGTGGTGTGAGTGTATTTGTGATTACTTTCAGGCTTAGGCATATAAATTGCTGATTCTCATTCGTTTTTACTAGCTACGTGTTAATAATAATCGTAATCATAATAATCGTGATAATAATTGCAATAACAACAGACTAAAATTAATCTCATAATGCAACTGTGTGTATGTGCTTTCCTTTGGTATCTTTATGTACATCAATTTGTTAGTTAACCATTTTTCAGCATTTTTTAATTATTGCTTTCCGGTTGACACGAAGTGGCTGTTTTTTTTAAAGGGGTATGGCCACAATTGATGATTGGGTTAATTGACAGGCGCTGCTTATTTTTCGATCAACTGTTCAGCCTCGAAATGTTCTAATAAAATTAGAGGTTTTTTTTTTAACTGGAAAGAGAGCTTAAGTAACAGTGATAATATTTCAAGAAAAAGTAATGCATAAGGCACAACAAAAAAAAATATTTTTAAAAAATCTAAAGTTTTTTTTAGTTATGTATAACAAAATTTTGATCCTGATTCTACTACTTTATAACAGCTATGTTCATTTTCTTTCTTTAGTAAGCAATAATTTAGTGCGCTTAAAACTTAACAAAGTTGAAAACAATATAATTTGCTCGTTAGTAGATATGTATTTGATTTTTTCAGCAATTTTTTTGTTTAAATAAAAGAGGTTTAGAACAGTATATCACAACCCTCACATAACAAATATTAAGCTTGAAAGTACAATTTATAGTTTGATTATAAGCCACAAAATCATTATAAATATAATAATAAATGTTGTATTTATATTTGCTATATCATTGATTAAAGGACAAAGGCTTTCAATTATCGTTTAAGCAGCGCCCGATCGCCATAATTTGTTGCATCGTTTTTGGTTGGCCGTTTGTTGAGGACGGATTAACTACTTACTAAAAAATGCAATTACTCTCATATATATATAAATACTTCCTATATATATATATTTTTTCTGTGAGTGATCTGATGGAGCTAAACCAATTAATATCTTATTTGTCTGCGCGGGACGATTTCTCAAGCAACAGTGCGGGGAATATATATTCGAATGGATGCGTGTGTATAATGTATTCCGATCTGGAACTGAAGTTTGAGGAAACCGGCCCCCGACTGGGTTATATCCGATCCGATTTGATCTGAACCTGTTATTATTATTCTTTATTAAGGCAATCGCATTTGGTTAATTAATTGTAGAGTAGAGTATAATATGCCATTCGATTTGAAAATTGCTATTGCTATTTTCGGGGCTCTTTTCCCAACAGTTTCTCAAATTACATAGGTGTTTCCTTGACTTTTTTTTTTTGGAAAAGGGGGCGGTGTGTGGAGTTTCTATTTGCGAGATCTCTCGAATGAACTTAGCCTTTAATTACATTAGGTTAGATATAATAATTAATTGTTTACTTTGTTTACGTTTACTTTTATATGAAATCACAGTCCGTATGTGAGAAAGACTTTATATATGTACTCGATAATGGTGATAAAATACATGGTATTCGGGAGAAGGGGTCCTGGAACTCCTCTATGTGTATATGTATATCCTATATATTGCTATTTTGGTGTTTTCACTTATATGAATTATGGGATATGGGCCATCGGAATAATGGACTACAATTAATTAATAACAATTTGTTGCTGCTCTGTTTTATTTCATTTCATTTCATTTCATTCCATCGCTTTCATCATCGTTTCCTTCACATATGTGTGTGTATATCTATATATATACTGCATTTATTTAAAATATAAACTATTTGTTGTTGTTGCTGTTGTTGCTGTTATGAAAGGCATTTGCATTGTTTTTTTCGTTTGTTGATTTAAAAAAATTTCGCTTGAATTGTTATCATTTAACTACATAATGCTAGTAATGTCTATATAATAAGATTTGATTTGAATTGTTTCTTTGTTTTTCATTTGAGTTTTTTGTTTTTTGTTTTCTCTTGTTTTTTTTTTTTCGTTTAGCTAAAAGTTAATTATCCGACAAATTTCACTTTGCGTTATCGTTCACCTTTAACTCGTTAATCGCTCCCCTCCAGCGCCTCAAGTCAATCGTTAACAATCGTTTAACATTCGTTAAGTCTACTAATCGATTAATCAAAAAGACAATTGCTTTGCTATTCCCATACTTCGGGTATCCTTCTCGCTTGATATGAACTCTCACAGTAAGATGATATAATGGATCGATCTTGAATCAGTTTTGGGGTTGTTGTTGTTTTTTTTTTCTCGGGACCAGAACGCAGGTTAGTTTTAGAGCTTTTGCCAGGCGATAGTTAACGATAGTACACGATAGTTAGGTTCTAATATTGTCATAAAAGTTGGGGTTCTTTAAATATATATATATATATTATAAATTGCTGGGGGAGAGAGAGATACAGAGTTTAAGAATGATGAAATGTTATGTTTCTGTTCTTTACTTGTTTTTAATTATCTACTAACTTTAGTTCTTTTCGAGGCGCAATTGTAGTAACCATAATATAATCATAATGATAATAGATCCACAAAAAAGTCGTTCCTTAATAGCTGCTCTATTATTGTTTTTTTTTTTTTTTTTTAGTTTTTTTAATGTTTTTTGTTCTTTTTACTAGATAAAAATTCATAAGCGCCATTTAGTCAGCCTATTTCTGATTCAGATTTGATCAACAGTTTTTTTTCTTTGCCCATTTTTCGCCACCCTTCATTGTTTAAACTTTTTTTCTTAGTCACTCTGCTGTCTTTTTTTGTTTGGTTTTTTGTTGTTATATTTTTTTTAGAAGGCCATGCTGGTTCGTCTGCCCCCCAGTCCACCTCCTCCTCCTCCAGGACCGCCCCTCGTCAATCCACTGTGGGAGACACTCCTGCCCATCCTCGCCTCGCTTCCCTTGCGTTCCCTCGCTTTTCTCAGCAAGTCCGAGGTACTGGGTCTCCTGCTGTCCTGGGCAGAAGCTGCTCCTCCTGCTCCTGCTCCTGCTCCCGCTCCCTTCTTGCAATTCACGATATCCGAAGTTGAGGACCTCCTGATGGTCGCTCCGTCCGCCGATGGCAACTGCAGACTTCCTGCTCCTCCACCACCACCACCACCACCAATACCACCACTGTACGGTGATAGAAAACTGGGCGAGTGTCCTGGGAGAACCGATCCTGCTACACCCACCCTGGGCTCCTCGGGATCCACACTCTCCACGCGTAAATAAGGCATCCTTCGTTGCGTTTGCGTTTGATCCACCGCCGGAATTGAGCTGTTCGGCTGATTTGGTGGCGTGGTACTCGAGTTACTCCGTAGTCCGCTGTAGAAGGACTTCAGGTGAAAGTCCAGGGACTTGAAATTGAGCAGGGAGCGACGCTTTTGGGGCTCATCACTGGCGGGCAGAGCCTGTTCCGGACTGCCGTTGTTGTTGTTATTGTTGTTCAGGGTGTCGAATTGGAGTTCAGCTGCGATTGGAGGAGCTCCACTCGAATCGCTGGCTAGCAAATGTTGTTGCTGTTGCTGCTGTTGTTGTTGCTGCTGTTGCTGTTGTTGTTGCTGCTGTTGCTGCTGCTGTTGCTGCTGCTGCTCCTGTTTGCTTATTGTTGTCGTCATGGTATTGCTACTTAGGCTAGTTTTACTGCTAATCACTTTCAAAAATTTATTATCGTTATCTAAGGACTCCTTTCGTCACTGGATGAGGCAGAAGCCCTGCTTGGCAGCGTCCTTGGCAGCGTCCACCTCCTCGATGAAGGCCTCATCCTCGTGCTTGGGCGAATCGGCGCCGCAGGGTCCGCCGCCGCTCAGGCTGAGCGGCCCCTGCGGGCACGCTGATTGTCACCGGAGCGCCAGAGTCGAGATCATCGGCGGCCGCACCGGCTTGTTCTCCAGGATCCGCTCCAGTTCCAGCATAACGCTCGACGAGAGGCGCGGCAGCAGCTGCAAAACGGGGAGTTTAAGTGCTATATTTAGTATATAGAATGTATATAGATTTTCCAAACTGAAAGCAGATAACTCAAAACAGTTACCATTTAATAACAATTTAAAGTGAAACAAATTTACTGATGTAAATATAAGAAATATAACAATTAAATATCAATAAAGGCAAAAAATTAGTTTTGTGACAAAAGAGAAACTTTTTAATGATGCAAATTGATGCAAATGATTTTGAAATTCTTAAGTTAACATGAAATGGCTTGAAACATTGTAGTTTTTTTTTTTTATTTAAAGCCTTGTTATACTTCTTCATAATAGCGTATCTTTAGATAAAATTTACCTGCAACGACTGCAGGCTCTGGTGAAGCTGCTCCGCTGATGTAGCACCTAATAGCAAACATTGGACAGGCTCGTGTTTCAGCGACCAGGCGATCGACAGCTGGGTGGGGCTGCAGCCCAGTTTTTCAGCGAGGGCGGCAAGGTCGCGAAGGCGATCGCAGTGGCGGCGCCCCTCCTCAATTCGGTCCTTGCCCCAACTGCCCTGCGGCGACAAAGCGGCCTGAAAATATGATCCATAAAATATTACATTTAAAATTAAAAAAATCAAAAAAAAAATTTTAACTATTGAGACATTTTCTTCACTTAATTAAAATTACATTCTTAAAATTTTTCAAATCTACAGTGATTTCTAACAGGGTGTCTACAATGATTTCTTAAATATACACAAATTAAAAGAATAAATGTTCAAACTCACATTGCGATTAATCTCGTCCTCGGTCCACGAGAAGCTCTTCGTTTTGAAGGAGCCCTTGGGCAGGAAGAGCTTGTCGCCGTTCTGGGTGTCGCTCAGGGCCATCGAGAGGGGACCCCAGGCCATCAGGCCCACGCCGATCTTGTTGTACATCTCCGGCAGGTAGAGCTCGCACTTCTCGCGGCAGAACATGTGGTACTCGGACTGCTCCACGATCGGCGTGATGCAGTTGAACTGCCGGCAGTTGGTGTACGCCTCCATGATCTCCACCTGGCTCCACCGCGCGGTGCCCCAGTACATTGCCCAGCCCTGTTGTATCACGTAGCTCATGGCGCGCACCACTTCTGGCAAGGAAATGGTCAAGAGATTACAAAGTGTACCAAACACTTTTAGGCAACAAAAACGAAACCCTTTCCATAAACGAACTATAAAAATGTTCAACACAATTAACAACAAGAAATGCTTCAGTAAGAAATGAAAACAAAAAAAGTATTTAAATATTGTAATGTAAACAGTATTTTGTTTAATTTCTTTAACTTTTTTGCTGGCCATTTTGTTTATTGCTTTTGATTAAGTACTTATTTCCTAATCTGTAATTAATTTTTAATGGGTTTCTATCATGCAATTTGGAAAAGGGTTGCTTAGTCATACTTTTTGTACGGAAAACTTACCCTCCATGGGACACATGGGATCTGCCTTGTGGATGATAACGATATCGATGTACTGTAGCTGCAATCGTTGCAAACTGGCACGAACGCACTCGATGATGTGTTTCCGGGAAAGTCCCCGTTCCTCGGATCTAAAAATAAAGATTAAAGCATTAGTAAATATTATAAAAATATTCTATAATAAGGAAATAAGTTTATGTTATATATTAAGCTGAACCTAACAAAGTTATCTTATTCTTAGAAATTCCTTCATTTTAGTTACTTAATATTTAAGAACTCCAACTCACTTGGTGCTCCAGTAGACCTTTGTGGTGATGACGTAGGCAGTCCGCTTCCATCCCGCCCGCTGCAGGATCTTGCCAATCTCCGTTTCCGAGTGCGCCTCCGAGATGTCGAACAGGTTGATCCCACTCTCGATGGCCAACTTAAGGATGGCCTCCGCCTGGTCATCGCTCACGCCGGGCGAGAAAACGGGCCATGTGCCCAAGCCGACGTTCGAGATCCGGAGACCGCTCTTGCCGAGATTCTTGTACCGCAGTCCCGGCGTCGGAGTGGATCCATGGCGCAGCGGGAGTGCCGGATTGGAGCCCAAGCTGATCGAACGGCCTGCCAGCAGCGGAATGCCCAAGTAGACGGTCATCGCGGTCGCAATTCCACGTTTCGAATGGTCAAGTGTTCAAGGATTCAGGTGCCGCATGGGAGTGAAACATTTCGTTTTGGGGAAAATGAAAATGTGCGTTCCGTTTAGTGAGAAACCTTTTTTTTTCATTTGGTTTGGAGAAAGGGCCTTCAAAGTGCCGGGAAACGTGCAAAAACAAACAGCAACGCAACAGCAACAAGAATGGTTACAACACAAACGCAATGCCACAATAAAAGGATATATACATCAAAGTGACGAAGTGGAAATACACTTACATAAGGCACAAGTACAACAAATTTCCATACTCCTTTTTAATTTTTAAAAACTCAAACCGTGTTTTATATACAACAAATATTAAAAAAAGTGTAGTACAAAGTCTGCCTGCCCTAATAAAAAAGTGTATGTGTTATTTGAAAAGATGTTTTAATATTTAAATGTACTAAACACCTTTGTGCATATTCTTCCCTCAAAAGTAAATGTTTAAGGTATGTTAAAATTTGTTTTTTTTCAATTAGCTAATTGAGACAGGCCCGGTGGAGAGTATATAAAAAATTATAAAGAGAGCGGCATGCAATGAACATGAATAAACAAAAATGACATTTTTCCGTTGGTTTTCCTGTCCCCGAGTTTTTCCTTTTCCTCGATGAAAAGTGCGTGCGTCCGGTGCGTGTATTTTTTTCCTGTTTTTTTGTTTTCTGTTTTCAGGTTCTTGTTGTTTTTATTTATTTTTGCTTTTTTTTTTTTTTGGTTGCGTGATTGTGGCAGGTGGTTCCAGTGGGTGGAGTTGTTTTTCCTCACAAAATGAATAAAATAAATTACAACTGGAATTGCATGTTGTTTTTCTCCCCATTTGAGCACTACGCCTTCGCCTTAATTCGCTAAACAAAACCAACGATTACCGACAGCTGAAACTACATTGATTGCGATTGTGCTTTAGGTTTCTGTTTGTATATAATTCATTTACTTGGCTTTTTTTGAGGCAAGCGCAACTTGCTTGTATGTGGTAGCATGCAGAGGCAGGCAATTGAAACAATCGAAAAGTCGAGCAATCGACAACATAAATGATAAGGCTATATGATAGTGAGAAATTTGATACCGAAATCAAGATGACCGCCCGTACCACTGAACTCCTCCATACAGTCGAGTGACGCAATGGGAGCCCGGCACCTGTAACGAGAAGGTCGAAGCAAATCGAGTTAGTAAGAAACGCCGGCGGAAAACTTTTGAATAAATCAACAGCACTGGCACTTTCTAAAGAAAAGTTTCAGTTACATTTAAGAACTTTTAAATAGTTTTCTTTTGTAATATTCCAAACTTAAATTACACTTGTAAATAAAGAGTTCTTCAGCTCAATGTGTATTACAATATTACTCATTCGCAGCGTGGTCACATTTTGCTTTAATTTATTCCAACCATTTCTTGAAGTAAAAGAACGATTATTGAAGGACACTTTCATGCAAATTTTTAGTGTTTAATACCCAATATGGTTTTACATATGATAACAATACAATTATTTGAGCCCAATAAAAAAATGGTGTAGTGAAAACCAAAAACAGTTTAAACTATCAATCTATGAAACCATTTGTTTATAATTAAACCAGTTTTAATTAATTAATTTGAATTTTTCAGCCAATTTGCTATTTAGGACTCTTTCTCAAAAAATCACGTATACGCCTAGTTGGACTCGATTCTCTGACTTGAATACCTGTAAATGGTGACCGGGTTCGATTCGTCGCTAGTATTGTCCATATTGTTGTTGTTGTTATTGTTGTCATTGGTCGAGGGAGCGACGCCAACGGCGCCATTGCCGATCATCAGCTGTTGCGTCGTGGGTCCCGTTACGAAGTTCAGATTGGCGGGCAGCGCCATAAGCAGCGGTGGCGGCGGCATCGGCAGCGACGCCGGCAGAGGCAGCGATTGCGGCACAGGATCGCCAACTGCAACAGCGGGCATTTCAATCGAAGTTACCGTACCATCTGTGACGTCACCAACGCCACCTCCGCTGCCGCTGCCGCTGCCCTCTGCCGCAGCGCTGCTTTGGTCGTGACCCAAAAGCAGCGGCGTACTCTCCTGCTGCAGCGTGTGCGAGTGAGAAAGCGACGGCGCTGCCGCAGCAGCCGGCGACGCAGACGTCGACTGCGCCGTGCTGCCATCGCCATTTAAATTGCATAATGCCATCGACATTTTGTATTATTTATATCTTTTTTATATTGCAACTGTTATTATTAAACTAAATTGAATTCTATGAAAGTTTATCTTTCTTCAGCGGCTGATTGTTTTGCTTTCTATGTGTGTTTTTTAGACACTATGTTTATTATACGTTTGCATATATACTTCATATTTATTTAGCTACTATGTGTGTAGTGCTTTATTTACTTAAATTCAATTTCATGTTTTTTTAGGCATTTTGTGTCTATTTGAATTGGCGTGAAAAGCTATTATTTTTATTTAAATTGCATTTTCCTATTTATGTATATTATAAAATCGTTTCTATTGGTTCGACTTTTTTCAGCTTTGCAGATTGGTTTTTAAAATAAATGTTTCTAGCTTCTTAAATTTGTTTGGTTGACGATATTTTTAAGTTTTATAAGCTTGCAGTTACTTCTTGAATTTAAATTTATTTATTCATGTTCATCTATATGTAAGCTTTAACTTTGTCAGTTCTAAGTTAATGTCGTTTGAACTTGCTTTTGTATTATTTAATTATTGTTCAGGGTTGTTGAATTATTTTTTATTTCCAAGTATTTTTATTATCGCCTTGATTTTATTTGTTCAGTTTATTAAGTATCACTTCTTAATATTGTTGCCGAACTTTTTGTTAGAATTTACTACTAAGTCTGGACTACAAATCACAAGGGATTATTTTTCTATATAGCATACTTTAAGGCAAAGTCCAGTCAGATAAATGTTTATTTTCGTGTCGCTGTTGAAGATGGTACAAATCAAAAAACTTATTCTTATCACCTGAATCTGTTTGCCAAAAAATACAAAGAAGTTGATCGAAACTTTTGCCAAAAGTTTTGTCACAATAATTAAGGAGCCCAAACAAGACAAAAATAAACAAATTTGTATGGGAGAAGAATGGGAGAGAGGGACAGAGAGCTTTTCACCACACTCAGAGAAAAGAAAGGCGGGTAAAAAAAGTGAGAATAGGCCGAAAACCCCATGGGCATTTGACTGATTAATGAAACCACCTGCCAACTTGCTAACACGATCTTATCGTGTTGTACATCTGAATACATTACGTATACGTAAACTGTATTATTTTTAGGTCGTTCTGTTTGTTGCCTGAGATAATAAATTACTTTTTGAGAAAATATTAATGGAGCATTTTGTATTACAATATTAAACTCAACAAGAAATAATATGTCAAATCATTTATAGCATTTTATTCCGGACTAAACGCCGGAGCACATAAATAGAAATTTGATGGGTCTTAATTTTAGCTCGCTGCCGGTTCATTTAATCCGCCTCGTGCAAAATCACAGATACAAATGTGTCTATATCCGCCAATGTATTGAAAACAATTCGTTTTGATTTCCCACTATCGAAGGTTAATTATAGATTAACCTTGACAATGATTCAGAATCGTTCAGACAGCTTTTCCGTGTTCATTAGTGGATCAATTCGGAAAATGCATTATTTTCTTTGGGGAAAAAGAAAAGAGGAAAAGCGTGGGAGGGTTAAAAGAAAGAGAGAGAGTCAGCTTCTCACCACGGCCGGTTTATTTGACACCACAACATGGACAAGAACAAGGCACAATTTGCGCTCGCTTTTCCCCTCCGCATTTCCCATTTCCCTTTCCTTTTCCCCAAACTAACTTTTGACGTTTATGCAACGGTTTACACAATGAAACTGACACCTCCACAGGTAGCTGAATTCAGGGCAAAAGGGAGTGGGGTTTTACACTAGCTAACATCAGAACATTTTGTGCTAGAAAAGTTTAAGATGAATTTTTAAAGTCCTTATAGTAAAACTCTCGTTTCTAGTTTACAAATTGTTTAACAGTTTAAATGAACAAGCTAAGTTTTCGTGTGTTTCAATTTACGAGTACTGCATCTGGCTAAAAACAATTTTATAAACATATAAAACATTCGTTACTTTCTTTTTAGCAGAGCCTACTTTCCAAGGATCAATGACCATCTCAGTAAAAGTTTTAAGAGGCAGCTGCAAAGCTTGCCATTTCTAGGCCACAATGACAGTTGACTGAGCATACACAAAAATAAATACAAATACAAAAATATATATTTATATCTGTATATATACATAGCTTGAAAGATAGAGGTGTCAGGCATCGAGGCGCTGGAGAGGGGCTAATCTACAAATTAAACTTTCAGCCAGGTGTCACACATATAGACCTTCCACTTTCGTTATCCTCGTTATCCTTGTTATGCCCGATTATTCCCCAAGTGGGTGGCAAGTGCCAAAGATTATCGGGTCAGGTCGCAGGCACTCTAACCCGATGACTTGAGTGGGGGTATAGCCAGCGCGAGAGCACGTCTTCAACATCAATTGATTATGTGGATTAATAAGTTTTGTTATTTTAACAGCATTTGCCATTATAGAATCCCAAGATCTAGATAAAATATCTCAGTGAAAAGAAATAATCAAGCAACCTTTTCAGCTAACAAAATCTATATATAAGTTTACACATTTTTAATGTGCAGTTGTAAAATTTGGCATACATTTCGTTGTCGAGTTGGCTTTGATCTCTGAATAAATGAATACTTAACTTTGGCATTGAAATGCATTTTTAATGCCTGCAATTGGCTTGGCGTGCAACCAATTTAAGTGGGGATTTTGGTTATTCCGAGCGAGTGGAAACAAGGGAAATGCATTTGTTGTATTCCATCAGCTCACCATTTGGCCATTGCACGTGTGTCAAATCAGTTCTCATGGTAGCCAAAACCCCCCCTTCGATATTTTCCCCCTTTTCCCGCCTTCTCGACCTTTTTGGTTTGATTTCTGCTGACACTTGGTTGTCTGCACTTAAAATCGCATCATTGGCGATTATCTTCTGCCGCTTTCCCTGGCACTTTGTGTTGCGGCGACCTTGACTCGTGCACGAATTGGAAAATGTGTGAGTGAGTGAGTGTGTTTTTTTTTTATACCCATTTTCCGTTTTGCCTTATAGTTTTTGTTGTGGTTTTTTTTTTTGTATAGTGTTCAGGCGAAGGCCAGGCGTCTCTAAGCTGTTTACAAGCTTATGGCAGCCGCAAAAGACAACTGGTTTACAGTGTCAGTCTCGGGTTCCTAATTATGTGAGCCGCATCAGCAGCGACAACAGCAACAACAACAACGAGAAGGGGTTCAGGAGGAAATCGGTGGGGGAAATGGGGGAAACTGGAGGCGAAGTGAGGAAATGGCGGCCAACCGGAGGCATAGGGAAAAATCCAATTTGAGCCACTTGCCTGCTACTTTCTAGCTGCAACATCATCCACAGCAACCTTGACTGCAACTGCAACTGCAGCTGCACATGTGTGAGAGTATATCTATGTGTGTGTGAGCGGGCTTTTCCTGGCTTAGTGGTGTGTGTGTGTGTGTGTGTGTGAGGCTCAAAGGACCTCTGCCATAGGCAGGCAACAACAAATCGCTTTTGGTATTCCGCCTTTTTGGCGCACAGCACGTAGCCAAAAGTGCAAATAATAAAATAAATATATAAAACACACATGTGCATATACGTTATGCATGTGTGTGTGAGTGTTTTCTTTTTTTTCCCTATTTTGTTGTTGTGTTTTTTTTTGTGTAGTGTTTTCTTATTTTTTGAACAACCGCAGCATGGCGTGACACCAACACCGGTCGATATGCCGCATTCCTCTCCGGCTCGCTCTCCATTTTCCCATTTTCCACACACACACACTCTCTCTCTCTCGCTCTCTCTGTCTCTATCGGTGTCTCTCCCTCTCTCTCTTATTTTTCGGCTTTCCCCTTTGACCCCGAGGAGCGAGCGGGATGGAGAGCCGTGACCCACTGACGTGTTGACCGGCCTACGGATTTTGGTTACGGCTACGAATATGCGGATGTGCGGATATAGATATGGATATGGATTCCGGGTGGCGGTGGCGACTCTCGGAATTCCGGAAAAGTGCATGAAGCCTTCGCTAATCGATTAGGAGAAGGATGCCGGAAACGGGGAGCTGGAAACAGGATACGGGATATCGTCAAGCGGATATCCTCCTGCCACACATCCGGTTCACCGACAACCGGTTAAAACCAAGGTTCAGTCAATAAAACAATCAAATCAATTAAATGAACACATCTCCAAATCGAAGCTGTGTTAGTAAGATAGTTCTTACTTTCAAAAACCGTATCTATTTACATTAAAAATGCTTCCTAAATCTGTTTTATGCAACTCAACGAATTACTAGTTGAACATTTATATAACACAACATTTTATGTTCCCCATCTAAAATGATTTTTAATTGAAACAAATAGCAAACGAGTTACGCTGCAATTAAACCGCATTCCATTCAATTAATAAATGTCACAATCAATTTTAAGCTTCACCCATTCTCCAATGGATTTCGTAAATCCCAGTCGACCACACAAGCTTATGCAATTGCCCATTTCCATATCCCATATTCCATATCCCATATCAGCGTCTAGATCGGGTGACACGTGGCATGTCATATTGAAATTACATTTCTCACACGAATCCAAAGTCAAAGTCCCTCATGGGGATTTGCGCTGCCGAAACCCCGAAACCCCGAATCCCCAAAACCCACAGCCCATAGCCCTCAGCCAAATCTTGGCTGCATTATATTCCCATCAGGGCCACTGGGCGGAGTTGAGTCGAGTTGAATCAACAAGGTTATACCCAAACCCAGGGGCAAGGCAAGGTCCTATCAGCGATTTGTAAACGCCTATATTGGAATTCTTACAGTTGGGCTTTTAAACCTAAAAAAAAAAAACATTTATTCTTTTAAACAAAATTCTTTTATTTTGTTTAAAAAAACTTCTCATATTTGTTAGTCGAAAAAAAAAAAGCATTAAATATTGTTTTCAAAAATGCATTTTAACTAGCATTTCAATTTATGAAACAAATATGGAACCTTTCAAAGAACTCTGACTATTCCTGTTTAGGGAAGTCGTACTGTGACTGCTTTCTGATTTTGTTGTGGTAAAAGGCGGTCTTATCGATACATGCTCACCCTTCCACACTGAAATTGCCGCAAATACAGGACGGAGTGGCGTGACTGGATAATTACTTACTAAACACAATTTTTTTCCTGTTGCTGTCTCTGTTTGTGCCACCGAATCGAATGCAATTCACACGACATTAAAGTCCGACACGCGGAGTTATTGAACCATTTTTTTTGTGTGTTACAATTTTATCGGGACTGCCTTTTTCCCAGAATTTCGATAGGCTTTTCCCGCTATTGTGTTGTCTTTTTTTCTTTTGCCTGCGAGTGAGTTTTCCCCAAAGAAAGGCAGCCAGAAAATTGGAGCGTTGACACACATACTCGTACAAGTCGCACAAACAGTCGCAGTTGCCCAAAAACACACATGGGAAATGGGAAATGGGAAATGCTTTGGCACAGATGTTGGCCAGCCTTTTGTTTATAACGGTATCCTCTGCAGAGCCCGCTGTGCCTGTGTGTGTTAGCCAAGTGGAGAGAACTAACCCAAATCTGCCTACAATGCAGAGATGCCTATGAAATATCCAATGGATATCTGTGCGCCAGCTATATACAAACATATATAACACACCATCGCCTTTAAACTGTTTACTTTCGGGCTTATTTACTTTTGTGTTTGACAAAAATATTCACAGGCACATGAAAAAAATCGTATATACCAGTTTCATTCAAGAAAAGGAATGTTTGATAGTTTCACTTTATAAACCTCACACTTTTTGTCACTTTAAAAAAGGAAATTGGTAGAGTTGATAGTAAATATAACTCTTTAATGGCGGTAGGAAAATATTGAAGTTCACAAGTAAATTTTGGCAATTATAAAGGATTGTGCATAAAAATAAATCTCAAAAAGAATTTGTGGTATGTGGCTCAGCAAATTTGGTTTGTCTTCGGGAATATCAACAAAACCAAATAAACCAATGCGATAAAAATTATGTAGTTTTTTTCTCACTCACAATCACTAATTATTATTGTTATAAAACTTTTGATGCACTGGAGAGTATCCAAAAAAAAAAAAATAAGGAATTGAAAACTGCTTAGCCGGAAGTTGGTTCCACGTTGCGTATGCGTTATGTGTGCATCAACAATATGGCCGTCGTATGTAACGGTAATGTTTACACACGCCAGCACATGTAACGGTACTGCTAACGGCAATCGCAACAAAATCGTTGTCCCGACCTTCTATCCCAGTCCTCCGCCCACTCCGCCCTCTCCACCCCCTCCCCCTTCTTCCCCCTCTCCCGTTTCCTTTGACAGGCAAGATTTATAAGCATATTTATGTGCCGCAGCACATATGTACTACGGCTACGAATACGTATTTTTTGGCACTAAACAAAAACTGGCAAAAAAAAAAAACAAAAAGAAATTGTTCAAGAAAAACAAATGACAATTTCGCACTGTTGGTCTTTTTCTGAGAAGGTTTTTTTCTTTTGCATTGTTTCTCGTTTTTGTTTGCTTTACAATTATTTATAAATCTTTATTAAATAATCTCGCCCAAATGGTCGCCGCCAACGGAGCGCGCGCGACGCGAACCGAAGCGAAGCGTCTGACACGCGAAACACGTAACACCGCAATGAAGACCAAAATTCCCACCGCTCATTCGTTCAGTCGTTCAGTCGCTCACTTGTTCATTCGCTCACTTGCTCACTTTCTCACTTTCTCACTTGCTCACTGGCTCACTGGCTCACTATCTCAATCGCCGAGCAACATACACGACTTTTTTTTTTTGGCCTCGCTGCCGAAATCGGAAAATGCAAACTGGCAAAACAGGCGAAACAGCCAGCCGAAAGCCAAATGGCAAAACAGTGACCAAGGCAGGCGAGAACGCAAAGCAAACTTGGCTGACAGTGCTGTTTAACTTGGCTTGTTCGAACATGTTAAGGATCTGATTTTAATATTGCGTAGCCGACTAGTGGTACAACGTAATAATACTTCTTTTGGAAATATTTTTAATAAAGTTAATTCAGTAGAAATACAAATTTAAAAACTGAAGTAAAAAATTTATATATTATATACAGTATAATCCTGTTATAACGACTCCGCTTATAGTGTCCGTCCGGGTATTCCGGTCCCCAGACAGACTTTTACACTTAAATCCTTCTGCTTAGTGCGTCTTCCGGGTATAACGACGAAAAATCGTCGGTCCCTTGAAAGTCGCTATAAGCGGATTCTACTGTATAATATTATTTAATTTCCATTATTATTTTTTATTACAAAGTGGATGATCATAATATGTAAAGGTTGAATCGTTTATAGTCTTTCTTTTTTAAATATGGTAATATTTTATAACGAAATAGTTAGCGAGTTCTGGCCAAAGAAGTTGACAGCACAGCTGGCAGAGGAATTTCAGCCACGAGGCGAAAGAGCGAAACGACAATTTTGGGGTGGTGGGTGGATGGATTGATGGGAGGGAGATGAAGGACGATGGGCGGAGGGCGAGTGACGGCGACGACAAATGCACGTGTTATTTGCAAACCGAAGGAAACAGCAAAGAAGCAACAAAACGAAAATAAAACATGAGCAAACAGAAAAGCTAAAAAGTCGAATGGTAAATACCCTAACAAAAACATTAAATAATAAGATTTCAAAATGCTTATACAAGTTTTATTTTGTGGAACTTTACATGAATTAAATCATTATAATAAATTATGTATTTCTAAAGAACTTAAAGTTTCTCGTAAAAATCTTAAAAATACGTTCCAAAGGGTAATGTTTCTATTAATTATTAGAGCTATTCAGCTTCTGTTTAAATTTTTAAATACATTAGGGAAAAGGAGAGAGGGAGGGAGGGAGCAGCAGAGAGGGAGAGAAAAACCGCCAGCGCGCGCAATTTTTGAGCATCTAAGCTTTTTTCGGCTTCTCTCTGTTTTTGTGGTGAATTTTGGCCTAAACGCACGTGTCCCAGTTCAAAAAAGCCGCTATGCCCGCCGCCGTCCTCTCTTTCATTTTCACATCCTTTCTTTCATTCTCATCGTCCTTTTCTCTGTTTCTGTTTCTCCCTGTTTGCCTATCCTTGCAGTACCCTTCCCCAAAGTATTCTCCTCTTGCGGTTGCAAATTGGCCCGGCATGTTTCTTTATTCTCCATGTGGGAGTGAAGAACAAGTACCAGTGTGTCTGTGTGTGTGAGCCTGTCTGTTTTTAAGTGTGTGTTGGCTTTTTGCGGGAGTAAGTGTGTGTTTGTGTGTTTCTGTGTCCTGCAGTGCCTGTGTTGGTGTGTTGCTGTGTGTTCGTGTGTGTTCGTGTGTGTAGTACTACAGATGGATGGAAGTGCGTGTTTTTTACGAGATTGCCTTTTCGGCTTATGCTCTGGGGCCTACATGGCCTTTCCTTCTGGCCGAATGCATACATATATGTATTTTTTTTTATATGCTGCACACACGTGCATATAAAGCTGGCACATAAATACCCTATAAGTACTCGTCTTTAAAGTTCCTTTGCAGTACAGACTCCAAACTCCCTTAATGCCCGCTTAAGTAGGCAATATAAATTCACTTCGAGTGCAGCCAAAATCGTGGCCTGAATTATGCATAGAAAATGTATATTTCAAAAAGCCTACAAGCTTTATAATAATACTATAGGTGAAGAAAACATGCCTATATTTTTTAAAGAAATACTTACGAAAAACTTTTGTTATATCTATTTATCTTCAATTTAAATCCATCTAAATTTGGAAAAACCCCAGTAATTTAAGGCACTCGGTTTTTGATCGCAATCAACGACCATGTACTATGGCTAATGCGTTGGCCGGGGAAAACCGGGCTGGAACGCGTCCAAATATTGCACAAATGGCGCCAGAATAATAATGAATAATGGATAAGTGCAAAGAAGTCATTTGCCAAAGGCCATAACAAACACGCCGACCAGCGTTTGTAAATGTACTTAAATGCTCAACAGAGTTTGGGATCGTTAAATGAGTGTGAATATTAAAGTACAATTTGTGTTATTCGGCTGAACAATATTCGCTGGTACGACCTGGCAATTAAAAGTCACTTACTCCCGGTAATTGATTGCGTTTCGGATTTCACTTCGCACATAAATATGAGATGGGGCTGGGGGAATGCTTCAATTTCGATCCAATTGCCGGAACTGTGGACTGCAGACTGCAGGCTGTGCCAAATCAAACACAATAAAGCCCCGTTCCCGGGCTGCAAACATTCGGAAATGCACCTGTGCGCTTGCAGGGACTACGTGGCAGGTCGATAATGACTTGACCTTAATGAAAAATTAACCATTTTAATTTGAGGCCAACTTAAAAGCATGTTATTTGCGTATTTTTCCTTCAAGTTCAAAGCGTTCAAATCGTTTGCATAATGATAGCGAGGGACTCAGATTCTATAAACTGTTTGCGAGGCATTAGAAATTGTAACCATCTTGAAAATTACTTGAGTATTAAAAAAGAAAAGTTAAGATAGACTGCAAGGAAATGAAACGTATTATATATGTACTTATTAAATTGTTAGATATACGTTATTTTTATAACGCTTTTAGTTAACTATCATTATTATTCAATTTTCAAAATATATTGCATACTTTTCACAGTGGCGCCATCTGTGGCATGCAATTTAAACTGACCACTGGTCCACATCGCGTATACTTGATTTCAGAGTTATTTTACATGCATCTTACATGTATTCTACATGCAACTTTTGTAGCACACTTTTCTGGGCAAATTGCACTCTACTGATTTGTTTCGAACTTTTGCGAAAACTTTCTTAAATGTTTTCTTTTATTTAATTGTGTAAGTTATACAATAATTGCAGCAAGAAAATCGGGGTGTTGTCGCCATTTAAGCTGAAGAAAAGCGGCTTTTCCTCTTTGTATTTTGTAAACTTTTCGAGAGAGAAAGCGTGAGAACTCGGAGAGGATGGAGAGAATTGCAGCTGGCCGAGGCCAAAGGTTCATGATTTAATGCCGATAGCCGCAGTATAAATGATGAAAGCCCAAGGAAAACACAAATAAAACAGGACTGCGAAATAAAAGCCTTTTGCCCAAACCGTTTTATAAAATGCGGCAAAGGAGGCATTCAAACATTTACCCACACGAAAATTAATTGGAATTCCTTCAATTTACGTTCCTTAATTGAAGTTGAACTGAATACTACTTCTCTTTTGATATAAGAATTTTTCAATTCTACAGATTTCACAGACAAAAATAATTTGTACTGTTCTCACTACCATTTATCGATGAATACAGAATATAAACCTCGTAGCTTTGACAATCATTTTACATTGAAGAGGCCATAAAATATCCCATCAAGACTTGTTTTAATAAAGTGACACACTTACCGGTTTTTTATTGCACGATTTGCAAACCGATTTCATCTCTGAATCGGGGAGTAAACACTCCATTAAGTAAAGCCTTGCAAGAGCAAAGCAATTGTTTATGACTTTTATATGTCGGTAATTAAAAGGAATCATTATGAAATATAAAGAAAAAGCGCAAAACTTTTAAAATCTTTTTTGTGCATTTTCAATGCCTTCTGAAATTTCAATTTATCCTGCTTTTTAGGTAACCTGCAGCTTGTTGATTTTGCTGGAGGTTTAAATGGAATTAGCCCTTATAGCCAATGATAAATCCCATGTTAATGTTATGATTAAATACCATATATATGAGTACATTGAGTGGTTGGAAGTACTCACATGATGCGGTGGTAGGCATCGAGCTGGTTGTGCGCACATGTCACGGACTGCTCGGATTCGGTGGAATCATCGCGCAGCGTTGCAACGCCGAGCGGTAATATCGGGATGATCGCAGCTGTGGCAGCTGCGGCCGTTGCCGGCGGCCCCGCCAATGTCGTCGTTTGTCCCGCTGTCCCGCTCCCAGTGACCGCCGCTGCCCCTCCCGCTGTCGCTGTCGCTGTCGCTGTCGCCGCTCTGCCCGCCCCGACTGCACTGCCAGGGAAGGTCTGCTGCGTGGACGATGATGATGTCGTACTATCAAGCTCCTGTTCAAAGTGGATTCCCCATAAAAGTATATTTCATTAACAGTTCATTGTGAAACGAGGTGGACAAAATCGGTATCAGGGGTTGAGAGATGAATTGTATCTTAAGTTTAATCAGATATACAAATTAGGACTTCAAAAGAAGAATTCATTAATCCCAAAACGTTAAAATTAACAAGACACTTTACCAATATAATAACAAACATTTAAAGAATAGCTTAAAAGATATGAAATAAAATTAGTTATAAGAATTTATGAAAATTATTTAAGAATTTAAATATAATAAGAATTTGACGAAAAAGAAACTTTTGTAATGAAGTATTAACTTATCTATAATTGGGTTAGAAATCAATATGGTTGCCCTTTAAATACACATTATTTTTTTTACAAAATAAAAACATGCTAATTGTAGGATTGTTCTTTTTTGTCCACCTCCAAACAAAAAGAAGGGAAGTTGCCGCTGGCAGGTGCAAGTGGATGGGGTGGGTTGTGGTTGATGACTAAGATGGAGATGGAAGATGGTGATGGAAAACCTTGATCTCGCCGGCTTCCGGCTGCGAGAATCGCTTCCGCTCGTAGAGGATCTCCCGCTCGATCGATCGACTCCGGAAGGCGGGCGGCAGCGAGCGATCGGGTGGCGGAGTCTGCAACTTTGGGGTCACCGGAGTGTTGCTGCTGCCGCTGCCCGTCGACTGTTGCTGCTGCTGCTGTTGCTGCTGGTGTTGCAGGTGTTGCTGTTGCAAGTGTAAGTGTTGCCGCTGCTGTTGCTGTGGCTGCTGCGAGTGTGGATGTGTCTGGTGGGCGGCGGACGAGGTAGGCGGACTCTTCTCGCTGGACTGCTGATGCAGCTGTTGCTGCTGCTCGCGGTGTTGCTGCTGCAGTTGCTCGCGCTGCTGCTGATGCTGCTGGTGCTGCTGCTCGCGGTGCTGCTGCAGTTGCTGCTGCTGCTGGCGCTGCTGCTGCTGCTCGTCCCGCTTCTGCTGGCGGCGTATCTCAAAGTCCAGCAGACGGGCCTCGCGTTGCTCCTTGTCGCGCTGTTTGCATGCAATTGTCGCAAAGTGCATTCTTACTAATCAGGTTTAAGGGTTATCGCGTGGCCATCGTTAATTGCTGTTGCATTTTCAATTACTGCTCCATTTTTGATTACGATTTTGTTTTCTATTTTTTTCTATTCTTTCTTTCTATTTTCTATTTTTTTTTTTTTTTTTTTGTGGAGGGATTAGTTTCTTTTTTGAATTGTTAATTTTTTGCACGCGCGGTAGACACACATACACACGCCGCACACGCACACCGATTTGGCCGCGACAGAAAGAGATAGGGAGAAGGCAGACAGAGAGAGGCACACACACCCACACACTCACCTTGTAGTTGATGGCGTCCTGCTCTTCCTTTTTGGCCTCGCGCTCGTTGCGCTGTCGATCGCGCTGCTTCTCCTCGTCGGTCTGCGAGTTCTTGCTGTCTATATAATCGAGAAAGGTAAATTATAAACCAAATTGCAAACAATTCACAGGTGAAACCAATAATCACAAGCGATTTCAGCGTTTAAATACCAAAAATACAGCGAGAAATTAATCAAAGAGATGTGCAACCAAAACAAAGTCCAAATTAAATATGACAACCAAAAAAAAAAAACAATTATGGAATACATACAAATGTTGAAAGAACCGGAAAAACAAAACAATTAAATTAAAACGAAAAACATATTTACAGAGAAGAATAGAAAGAGAGAGAGAGAGAGAAAGAGAGGGGGGAGAAAAAGAGGCCATGTTTAAGCTGTTTCAATCGATTCTCATTATGGTATTTAAATTTGCTACAATTCGTTCTGTCATCGTCTACTCAAGCGCTACTAGGCATGCATAGGAAAAATGGAAAAATGGCTGTTTGAAAAACAACTTGCAGCATGCCAATCCACAGCTCGCACTCGCACACATTCAAATGTATACATATATATGTGTATATATTTACAGTTCAAGGCCACGCCCCCTACTTACGCTGCTCCCCATCGCGCCCACCACGCACAGCCATCAAATAGCGACTCAGCCGGGGCGGTGTCATATTAATTCGCAACTTTCGACAGGTGAAAAGCCCACACGGAATCAACAGTCGTCAGTTGGGCTCAAAGAACCAGGCAACACTGACACTGAACACTGAAATGCGTCGCACTAAAAACATAAAACTAAACGCTGAACCCAAAACACTAAACACACTCAAAGTTGACCGCGGCCCAATTAGTGTCATCTTCTTGGGCGGTTTAAAGCTCGGCTGCGTATTTTCGTGGCGACTAGACAGATTTGCATTTAGCGGCGGTAGTGTGCCCTAAGTAGCATGTGAATTTGACAAAGGCTGGTCACACCGCTTGCATCGATGTTATTATAACTGTAGGTTCACGAATCACTGTTTTCCGTTCTAATAAATCTATGCTCCTATATTTTTAACTTTTTTATTCGTATATTCCTTGTGAGCATTCCCACTTTGAAGAGCGGTCTCTACTCGACTAACACTCAACATTTTGTTTGCTCCCAGTCGTTTGCTATTCTCGTGCATTTATGTTTCCATGAATATTTGAGCTTTGAGCTTTGGCCTTGGCTTCAACCGATTCACAACCCACCACAAGAGCAAGAGAGTGAGTGCGTCATAGGTGATGGGAGAACTCTTCTTTATGCCACTGTGGTGAGGTGAATTAAGATTGATCTTATGAATGTTATCGTTTTAAAGGATTTTTTCAGGATTCGGTTTAGTACGTTAAGCCATTATTTTTAAAATTAATTGTTTTATTATAAAAACATGCGACGTGAGGCCAAATGCTTGTGATGTTTGCAATAAAGTGCTGGTCTCACTGACTGAATTTAAGAACATCCTTAACATACAACAATTAAGTGTAACTTTGCAGTCACTTGTCCTCATGTTTTTTTTCCACTCTAAACACTTGTTTTACCCGTTTTAAGGCTTCAAGCAGATGTCCTGTCAACCGGCTGCACTTATCTCGTTCTCACATGAAAGAGGCCCGAATGCTGCACAGTTGATGTCACGAATTTAAATCTGCCCCACCTTTGACCCCATTTCATTCATCAACAACTTTTATACACACACAAATGCATCAGTGACATCATTATATATCGTCGTCATTATTATCATCATCAGCAAAGCGCTACGAGAAAAACAAAAAAACAACCAAAAAACGTAAGACAACTAAGGGGAAACCAGGAACTTGGAACTAAACGAACTACACGTAACGGAACAACCAACAGAACGAAACGGTTGAATAACGGAACTCGCTAAGGGGGGTTTCGTTTTCTTGTTTTTGGTCTAAATGGGTTTTAGGGGGATTTAGCTTTGGTTCAATGAAATTGGAATTCCATTTGGCCAACACTACAAGACCAGTGAGTGACAAAGACAGAGAGACACAGAGAGAGAGAGAGAGAGATAGAGATAGATAGACGGAGAAAGGCGGAGTGTGTGAGACAGTGAGAAAGAAATTCTTCCTTACCTCAAAGTGTTTTTATTCTGATGTTGTTGTAGTTGTGGTGATGATGTTGTTGATGTTGTTGCTTTTGTTGTTGTTGTGTCGACTTTTGATTTTGATTATATTTTAGTAACGATTTTGTCGAATTTTGTAATTATTTACCGCGATCGCGTCGCGAACCGGAACGATTGGAATGGATTTAGTACCGTTAGGTGAGTGCGGTGTGTCTGAGTGTGTCTTTTGGAAAAGAGATAGACATATAGGCAGATAGAGAGAGAGAGAGAGAGAAGAGACTGAGAGAAAGAGAGATGGGGAGCGATCGCACACGAAGAATCTCTCAATCTCCTTTTTGGTTCAGTTTACGATTTGGTTCTATATATTTTCTTATTTATGTTGTTCAATTTTCTTTTGATTTGTATTTCGTATTGTTTAGGCTTGATTCCTTAGTTTCATTACTCCTTATTTTTGTGTGTTGAACATAGAAGACAATTCAATCAAAGAAGAGCAAAGAAAAGAAGGACAAAAAACAAATCTTCAATTATTTTGTACTTGAATTGGAAATAAATCTTAAATTTATTGCTTGGGTAAAGCCAACAAAATGGACAGCGTCGTCAAAATACCAAAAATTCATTGGTTGGCCCCGATCGAATATCTATTTAGGTATTCAGATAAACTCAATTATATTAAAAAAAAAATCAAAACCAGGGATCACAACCCATTAATCTAACCTTAATGCCAGATTACCTCTCTCTTTGGCTCTGGGCCTTTACTACAGTTACGCTATAATTAGATATATGTTAGATGTTCAAATATATATGTATATATATATACCTAAGTAATGGCAACAACAATAAGTAGGTAAAATCATCGACTTTATATTTAGATAAGTACTTTATGTGGCCTTCACATCTAAGAGGAGTCACTTAACAAACGTACCACATACAGACATATACATACGTACAGACAAGATACATATATATGTTAAATACAGATAGATATACAAAGAGAGAGGACTCACAGGATGGCCTAGTCATACAAAAAAGAAGAGAAATCAAAGAACAAACGATAATCGCACTCCCTATATAGACTATACATTGGCTATATGATCACTTTCGGTTATATGGATCAATCAGATAACATAGACATCAAGGGACGAACAACACAAACGAAGGGGGATTGGTTTTTCTTTTCTTTTGTTTTTTATGGTTATAAGGGAAGAGGGGTTTTGGAGTATTGCGAATATTGAAGGGTCCAAGGAGCTGCCCCGCATGCGCAAACCGAAAGACTCACTTGAGGAACCGCCGCCAGCGCCCGGTGGCGGGTATGAGAACCAAAATTGATGGGCCAGTTTGGAGTGGAGCCCAACAAAGGGGCTGCCTGAAAGGTTAATACCATGTTAATGCCATTAAATGTAGTAAGGGGCAAGATTCTTAGAGCGTTTTGGTTGGTGGATCACTGGAAATTATATAGGGAAATAAGTTGGGTTACAAAGAACGCCACAAACGAACACTCGGATTTTTCCATCACATATAATGTTTTAAGAAAATATTGAAATAATTATAAATTTATGTGCTAGTAAAATACTTTTTTAAAAAAATTTCTTTCTTGAAAGTTAGTAAACATTTAAAACATGTTTATATCTTTGTTGAGAACTTGTAAAAATAAGTTACATATTGTTATTCCGAACCTCTTTATAAAAAGTCTTATCCCGAATGATCTTTCATAACCAAACCACTCGGAATCCTCCATGGACTACTCACCGATGAACAAGTCCTATTGCTTGCGCTTGTGAAAGGACCGCAGGGGCTTATCAGTTGTCCAGTTTAACTGTTTTCTAGTCCTTGACCAGGCACGCGCGATAAGTTAAGTGAGGTTAGGTCCTGCTAGGTAGGTTCCTAGAGCCAAAAACATCAGATAGCCGGAAAGAGAAGCGCCGGAGGCGTGTCAGTGTTTTATTTCGGCATCTGGGGAATCGCAACACGGCACTGTTTACCCGCTGGGCCACCAATGGGTTAACTAATGGAGCCGGAAAAAAAATAACAAACAAATTAGAGTCGTACGCAAATTGAGGCCATAAACTTACTGACTTATCGTTACCCATGTGGCAAGTAATCAACCCGTCCAACACACACACACACACACAAACTTACGCTCTGGTCCACACATACAGATGAGTACACTGAGAAAATTTAAGCGACCCTTTATTTTTCTACTTTAAATTCCATAACTAAAAAAATCGATGGAACAGTAATAAAATTGAAACTTCATTTGAGAGTCAATTAAAATTGTATATACTTGTATTAAAACAACAAAAAATACTTATAAAAAGTAAAGAAAAAATTTAATATCAAAACAGAATTATATCGACTGAAGAATTGGTTTATTGGCAAGCCCTAAGAGTTCAATTCTTTGGGAAACGTTCTTGGGCTTTTCTTCGAGTGTTAAGACTAGACATTAGCAACCGCAAAATGCCGAATGGCTGTGGCAAGCAAATCTGGTTAACCATAGCAAATCAAATCGAATGGCAGGCATTACATCAGCGAGAGCCACTCGAGGGTAAAGTGGCTGCATGGGTTAATGGGGGTAGAAGAGGACTCGCAGCAGCTTTTATGCCATCTGTATAGGCTTAGGCACCAGTATGTGAAAATGGGTCAAAAACGTGACTCTTCAGCGATAAGAATGCGGTGGGTGGGAAAGTGGGAAAAGGCGGTTTAAAAAAAAATGGGCGGAGAAAGACGCTCAAGGGGGCTGGTCCAATCTTCTTAAGAAAAAAGAATAGAACAAAATGACAATGCTGTTATTATCACAAATAAGTTCTTAACTAAACCTTTGTTTTAAACTTGAATTCAATGATGTGCACTTTACAAGCGAATAATGTACAGCAGCAGTTTAAATTAAATTATAGAAAGAAATGTTTTTAATTTAGATGTTGTTTATATCTATTGTTTTTGATTGATTCCCTTTTTTAGTAACGAATAGTATCCGGTTTCTCGTAAATAATATATGAGTTGCTTTCATTATTTAACTTTATAATTACTCTTTCCAATTATTTTATTCTTTAAAATCCAAACTTAAAGATTTTTTGAAGTAAGTTTTTTTGCACATTTAAATGATTTTTTTCTTTTATTTGATGGATTTTCTTGAACGTGTGTGGTTTTTCTCTCCATATTTGGGTCACTTTATCAGTGGAAGTTTTCCCTTTGCCATCTCTTCAACTTTGCCATTTTCAACATCCTTTTTGCCAGAGCGTTTGTTAATGCATTCATTTTGTATATCGTAATTTGTATTACGCCTTGTTTTGTTTTTAATTTAATTAATTTGGTAAGAGTGCTTTTGTGTTAGCTAGTACAACCACCATTATGAAATTTTATTGCTTGCCACCTACACTCACATACACTCAGAAAAAAACAACAACAACAACTCGGCCTAAGGCAAAACCAAAAAACACACCCATAAAACGAGCGAGAGAGAAGTAGAAACAGGACATTTTGGGGGGCCTGTTGCGACCCAAAAGGGAAAACAACCGTTAATTACAGCTATTGTAAATTTTCAGACACTTTATTTCTGCTCTTTTTTCCCGCACAAAAAAAAAAAACGGAGCACACACACTGGCAAAAAAAAAGGTGGACAACAAACAGGAGCAGCGGGATAATGAGAGATATAGAGAGTGACGAGAGAGGGCGAAATTTGGCACACTGCGATTTACCGTTGTACCACTTTTGTTTTTTATTTCCTGTCGTCACTGCCAAAATCAGGACACGTTTCTAATGCGTAAAATGCTGGCAAAAAAGCCAGCAACAACAAGAAAAAAACAACAAAAAACAAACAACAACGACGACAGCCAGTGGGAAATGCAGGAAAAGCGTGGAAAGCGAATTAGGACTCAACTCGACGGAGGCGGCGCCCTTGCAACTGCTTGCTGCTCTGCTTGCGACTGCCTGCGACTGCGACTGTGGCTGCTGCTTGCGAGTTTGCGACTGCTGCGGCTCCTACTGCGGCTCCTCTGCTGCTGCTGCTGCTGCTGCTGCTGCTGCGACTCCTTTGCTGCTGCTTTTGCGTCGGGTGCCGTCGCCAAATGCGAATGCGTGCGAAGATGCCGATGGACGAAGAGAAGGACGCGGCGGAAGCTGCGACGGAGGTGCAAGCGGAGCAGAGCGGGCCACATGATTAAAAAGCTAACGGGAACCGTCGCAGGACCTCTGCAGAGAGCGCATGCCGTCGCCAGAGAGAAAAAGAGGGAACGGTTCCCGCGCGAAAGAGAGGGAGCTTTTACAAGCAGTGCTGGCAATTTGGAAGCAAATAAATACTCAGCTTCAAAAAAGACATACTTTTAGATGTCCTTTACTCACTGCTTTGTTAAAAATATATAGCACACTCTTTGGCGTTGATTTTTAAATATGTAGTTAACCACAACATATTTACAATAATAAATTTCAAGTACTATGTCTCTTTCATTTGCACGCCTTAAAAGTTTCGTGGCTAAAATGACACGAGAAAACTATTCATTAACATATAAACTTTAGGATTCACCATACAAAAATCAAAATAGATTTGACTAGAACAAGCTGATTAGCCAACACTGTATACCGTTAAAAGATTTTTTAAACTGAAAGCTTGTAAAAGCTCTGACATCCGGCACAACTACATAAAAGTTGAAAAACACGAACGAATATAATGATCGGACAATGTTGAGAAGAGTCAATTCTACACTTCTGAATATTGACAAGAAAGGAAGCTATCTTCGGCGGGCCGATGCTTATACACCCTTGCAGTCATCGCAAATGTCAAGCAAAATGCATAAAAGCTAAGCAATATTGAAGAAATTACGATTTTAATAGGAAAAAAAATAAATGTACTTAAAATAAACAAAATTTGGTAAATTTACAGCAAACCCACTATTTGGAAATTGCATCATACAAATGGAAAATTCATCGGCCAACTAATTTCTTCTTATTTAAAATTAAATATTATTATTTTAAATCATGGCTGTGGCCAAGAACAAACAGAAGGCCTACTGCGAAAATTCGGGAAATCCACATGGCATCAATCTAGGCAGCGAACGGGGACACAAGGAAAATTGTTCGACTTGTGAGAGAATGGCCCACATAAACATGCTGGCCGATAATTGGGAAGGAGCTGAAACGAAATCTGCGCACTTAAAAGCTGACAAGGCCGCGCAGCCGCTGGAGAAGCAGGGAATTCAGGCACCCGAGAAACTGTTACTTAAATGTGCATCAGGTTTTAGATTTCAATTAACACATTGTTTTAGGTATCAGTTGTGTATATCAAATGTATCTTTTTTATAATAAACATGAAATGAAACTAAAGATTTTCGGCTTGTTTTCGACTTATGTGTTTTTTTCGCCGAAAACTACGTAAAATACTCAAATAAGCCCAGTTTTTTTTTGTTTCTTGCCCAAATAACAGACAAATTACCAATGGAAAAAGTTTTTTTTTGCCCAAAACTACAAAAAATGGCTAAAAAAAACCCCAGTTTTTTTGCAATATCTGAGAAAGTACTCTCCCAAATGTGGTGTGGCATACATCGTTGAATTCGTAATAAAATTCTGATTCCGATGGTATAAACACCCAAAAAAGTTAAAATTTGGCCATTTTTCGCAAAAAAATTACGATGTTACCCCTTACCAAAAAAGCGAAAATTGGCCAAAAATCATTTTTTTTGAATCGTCCAAAAAGTGATTGGGCTCGTTAACTGTGGTCATAAGGTGCTCAAAACAGTGTTTGGTTCGGCTGTAAGTAACTTATTGTTTTTATTACAACCGAAAAACCACTAAAAAACTAAGGGATAAGTTAAAATAATGTAGGTACCACCTATAAAATTAGTGCATTTGGGTTAAATTAAAAAAAAATTCTAATTAAAACTTAGGGAAATAAAATACAAACAGCATTTATCAGATGAGAGTTTTAATTGCGAAATTTTCCAAGTAAGAAACTCGAAGAGTAACACCCTAATGTAGCTTTCTGTTTGCCTGGTTCTTCAAAATGCGTTTGGAAAATGCTTATGGTCTAAAAACTTTTTTATTTGCAAGGGTGTTTAAGGTGCTACTTTCTCTTTCGTTGGCGTGTCTATTTTTATATGTTTGTTTTCACTTTTATCTGCAAATTCATATCTCCATATTTGTATGTCTTAGTTAAGGGGGCACGTTGGCTAGACTCAATCTAAGATAATAACCGTATCAGCGGAGATAAGGCCCCAAATCGTAAACCATAAATTGTTAATTTGAACAAAACGCCGAAATGTGAAGTCCGAAAATGAAATGCTTAACTGTGTCATTTCAAAACTCTAATTTCACCTATCAGTGAGTCGGTCAAATAAAACAAACAATTTGATTGTTTGTATTCACTACAGTTTTTTTTCGCACACGCACTCGCCGACTCACGCGATAAGGTTAAATATAGTACAGACATGTGTGCACGTCCTTATATAAATAAAGTGAAATGCAGGGAGAAAAAAACAGATCTGTTTGATATTTTAAAATAAAACTAAAATGATACATTTCACAGGGAAAATTAAAAACAAATAAAGAATGCCTTAGTGATTTTATGTAATTTTTTTTTAACTTTTTTTTAGTGTAAGAAATATTTAGTTTTTTGCTTAGTGTATGCACATCTTAGCATGCATATCAACGAACTCTCTGAGAACAGTGCTCAATTATTTTGCATCAACGAGCGAATGCAATTAATACCTCCCCCCATTCCGCCACCCTTTTCCTAATCGGCTTTCGCTTTCCGCTCTCTTTGCCTTAATTTGAATGGTTTGTTGAACTTTGTCTTGTGTGACAGTCGTTGGAAACATCATCCGACTATTCCCGAATTTTCCAAATCAAAAACTGAAATATCAAGACGCTCTTATCGCACCTTATTTTTTTGGTTCGTTTGACGCCTCGCGTCGGTGACCTTGGGAAAAGTATCTGATAAACATAAAAACCCAAGACTCGAAACGAAACTGAAAACGAAAACGAAAACAGACAGAATCAAACAAAGTCTGAGTTTGGAATCAAAAAACAGCCAGCATATGGCATGTGTACTCGTATGTGAAGAGTGCTTGTGTATTTGTGTAGAACTCGTTTTTTAAAATGCGTCGTGCGTTTATTAGCCGCTTCTCTTATACAAATATATCAAAAATTCATAAATTCATAAGCATTATAAACTGTAGTCTTTAGCTCTAAATACAAATAAAATACGTACAAAACGCTTAACTTAATTATAGCGAAAAATAAAACACTTTGCCCAAATAAAAACAGCAAAAAATAAATGGAACATGTGCTTAGGTTAGGTTAAATAATAACAACACAGAAAAAAAATTAGGCTGCATTTGGAACGGTGATCTCCTATAATATCAGGTCCATTAAAAGATTACGTTGTTTTATGGCCATTGGGAAGATCAGATCGATTTCTTTGTAAAATGATAGCAGTGCAAAAAAAATTGGATGGTTTACTTGGATCCGATATACGATGTATCTTTTAAAGTGAATAGTGAGGCTTATCGCTTAAAATCAAATCTTTGTTCTGCGTTCCTTATGATTGCTTTCTTTTTAAGTGGCTTCACAAGTGTGTCCTCTATTGAAGTGGCTGATTACAGGTGATGGCTGATTTGTCGATGAATGGGTCACCTCCAAAAAGTGAGGGGCTACTTTGTTACTCCCTTTCGCCATTGGTGGATGCCTCCTTACCGGATGCCTTACACTGCAAGCAGTAGCGATAGGATACCGGCTCCGGGGGTTTGTTAACCCCTATGTTGACCTGGGTGGCCGCTGCCGCTGCCGCTGCACCGCCCACGGAATCGAACGGATTCGGCTTGCTGTCCACCGGACTGATGGGGAAGTGCTGCCAGTGGGGGGCAGGGCATCTGCTTGGGCGGATGGATGGGAAACGGCATCTTCTTTCACCGGTTACGCTCTGGGATTCGATTAACCGCTGCAACTGGATATCTGCAGTCAAAGCCAAAGCCAAAGCCAAAGCCTGTGTATCTAGTCTCGATTCGGTTGTGTATCTGCAACTGCTGCTGCTGCAACTGGAGTGGAGTGCCTGCCGCTCTGCTCGGAGTCTCGACGCGAACTGTGCGGATTGCTAGAAGCGACGCCGCAACGTCAACGACCAAAACAAAAAACAAAAACAAGCCGAGCACAAAGAGTAGAACCTTCTCAGCGGGCAAATTCGCCCATCAAATTCCCTGCAGTAAAAAGTATATACGTTCTTTGGTTGCTTAATTATTTCCACCAATATATTTACAAAATTACTTTCTATCTGTAGAGTTTATCTACTGATGGAATTAACTGCCTTACGCAAATTTGAAGTTCATTAACCAAGATTCATTTAAGATATATTGCACCCCCAAATCTGAAAGGTTCTTTTGGATCTATTTAAAAATAAATATTTTTTGTATTTAAATGGAATTATTTTCTTACTAAAAGCTATTGTCAAAATTGAAGGTTTAATTTAAGTAATTGGCCAAATAAATATTATGCACTCACGCTCACTTTCCACGTTATTTTAAGAATAATACATCTAAATTTGTTTGAACTTTTGGGGTGGGTAAATATTGGTTGACAAACCTTTTCCCGAGCACTTGTGCGACTTTCCGAAACCTAGGGTATGACAACAACCACGGCACTGCCATACCGCACACGCACACACTCGCAGCTGGTCTGGCGGGCTCGTCTAGTCAACAAAGGAAAGCAACAACGCCAAACAGAGAGCGCGAAGAGAGCGGAGAGATATGGAGCGAATGAGAGGGAGAACGACCGGTCTGGTACATTTAAAGAAAAAGATCTTGAGTTTGGTTTGTTTATACATATCTGTTAGGTTGTAGATATATTTTACCAAACATAACTAATATTTTTTATATTTATCAACAGCACAATTTAAAACGCTTTAAACTAATACTGAACGTTTAAAGATCCTCAAAATTTGTAAGAGTCCTAGTTACATCTTGATTTATATTACTGAGCTCAAAAAAGGTTATATCTTTGTCAAATTAAAGTCGATTTAAAGGAAATGTGAGCCAAATTTGCACTTCCTAAAGCCATAACTTTGTCAAAATTCTTTGGATTAAATGCGGCTTGCCTCTAAACATTTGTGATTTAATTCTTAAGGTTACTGTATTATTTAAGGAGTTTTATGTTTTAAGCCAAACGCTTCAGTTAAACGCTTTCATTAAAGATACATTTCTTTGGGTGTAACTCATTGAATATGGTTCTCTCTTTTCGGTTTTTTGGGTGGTGGGCGGTGGTTGGGTGGTGAATGCAATCGACGGCTGGCACTCCTCCATTTTATGGTTATGCTTTGTTCGCATTCGCCATGCCAATGCTTCCCCTTTTAATTCCCCTTCCAAAAGATCTTATGCTGGCAAAAGTCGGACTTTGTACGCCAATTTTCCTTAACCCGCTGAGTATTTTGGAAATACTTTACCTAGTGAAACATTGCAGAAATTAAATCCAAAATAGGTTGTTGCCAAAACATTAATTAGTCGTGCAAAAAAAAAGGGTTCAACTTTGGATTTAACTATTGTTTGGCTTAGGAAAGAACGGTTTTAAAGGGGTTAATAAAGAGGGCTAGAAGCATGTATCTGTCGCGACGAACACCCTTTCCGGGTTCTCGAATCGCCGGCGAGTGTTGTTAACCTCACATTGTGCTTTGTGCTCGCCTTTTGTGCAAGTTTCTTCATTAAGTATACGCACATTCAGTTTAAGTGGGTTGCTCATTAATTGAGCTCGACAACCGCTTGCCAAGTGGCTTGTGTGGCAGATACATAAATATATCTCAAAGTGGAATCAATGGAGGGGATCGGGGGTACTTGTTTATAGTCAGACAAACTATCAATGAGCAGCGAGATAAAATATTTACAGACAGAAAGGAAAGCTGAATAAAAAGGGTGTTTTGGCTTCGCTGTAAAACTGGAGAGATCTTGCTTAACTGGCAACCATAAATAAAGTGAGTAAACAGGTAGTTATTAGTTAATTATTAGATCTTTATTAAACTTATGATTTAGGCAAAATACAATCATCATTTCCAGCAGCTCAGGGACTGCAGTTAATGGGTGTATTGTGTCTGATGCATTTACAAATTTTCGTTCGAGTCTGGGTATCGGGCATTATCATCGGATATATCATATATCTCGCTATTGGCCTCAATTCTAATTTGATCTAACCAAAAAAAGTTTGCTGTAAAGTCTAAATTTATGCTTAGTTAGTTTTAATTTTGCCATTCTTTTGCGCCCTATTTCTTTTTTTTAATATTTGCTTGTTAAATATCTTCATTATTAGTTTGTGTTTTTAAGATTTTTTGCTTTTCCGTTTTAATCAAATTGATATTATTTTCTTTTGTTAAAACATTTCGTTAAAATTCTTCAGTATTACATTAGTATAGCTTAGCTTACGATTTATATTATTTTTACGTTTGTTAAATCACTTAACACAGCTTAAGCTGCGTTTATTACAAAAAAAAAAAAAAACAATTGAATAACTTCTATATTTCATTTATCATGCGATGTGTGGCTTAAACTATGGATTACATTCATAAATAGAACTATAAATATGATTAATGTTGGTATTATTATTATAAAAAACCTTTACAGTTGCTAAAAATTAAATTACCATTCGCTCGGCCTTTGCCATCGTATAATTAATTTATTTTAACAATTGCCTACGTTTTATTTAATTTAATTAAATACAAATATAAATATATATTTATTTAGTTATATTTGTATATATATTTTATTTAATTTCGTTTCGCTTGATGTTCTGGATTTAAGGTAATTCGCGTTACATTTTTTTCGTCACATAAAGTAAGCTAGACTCTATATTATATTTATATTTAAATATTTAGGCTACAAATTAAACAATATTGTGTAAGAATATATTTGTATAAATATCAATTCGATTTTCGTCTGCCTTCATTTTGCGAGGAAAGTCAATAGAAATTATGTACAAAACAAAGCGGTCAAAGATTCGAATTGGAAATCAGCAGAGAAGATCGAAGATCGAAATGCCCGCCAAGATCACCATAAGTCTACACAGAGATATAGTCGCAGATCGAGGATTGCGTATAGAATGCTTGTAGAGATAGTTACGTAGATGTTTAGTGAGAAAGAGCCTTGCCTGAACGCAAGGAAAATCATAATTAGAACACCTGAGTTTTACATTTACACATTTATCATATATCAATATTAATATCGTAATTAATATCAAGAGTGTTTGCCTAACACCTACATCGTTCGCGTTTAAATGGAAATTGAGGTCTCCTTTCACCGCGCACCTCTGTCAACTATTTTTGGATTACTATATTCCATAACGTAAATCAAACGGAGAGACTCGGAGAAACTTGTGTGCAAACAGTTTAGAGCTAAACTACGATATATCCGTTTAGGTTTTAGGTCCTATATATGTGCAAGCTTTATAAATATGATACATTGAAAGTGTGTGTGTGCCTGGCTGATTGTAATCATACAATATCTTCTTCGTACGCAGTTGTCATTACTTCACGTAAACTAACTAAAAACTTATAAAAAAAAACATTAAAAAAAATTCACGATAAGTATGCAAATATCGAGAGCTAAGTAAGGTGCATTGCTAGGGACAGGCCGACGAGCCAGCGGCGCAGCGAGGCGCCCCTTTACGAGGCATTCGAAGCCGGCAGCGTTACGGGGGCCTGTCTGTAGAACGCATTCGCTCCCTTGATGGGCATCGGATGGGCCTCCGTGTTGAAGACCCACTCGTCCAAGGGCAGCACCGAGTCGTCCGAGAACAGCAAGTACAGGTACTGCATGGAAAGCAATTCATTAATTTGAGTTCACAAGATCTAATCACTATTCTATATCACTTAATCGAAGTTTTCTTTTGCGAATGTCACTCCTGTTTACCTTTAGGGTTTCGGCGAGGAAGAAGCTCTGCTGGACATCGTCCTTTTGCGGCTCCTGCTGGTAGACATTGCGCAGGCCACAGTATCCGTGCGCCGTGCGGCAGTGCTTCTCCAATGCGAGTACCGCCTCCCAGCCCCAGTCCCTGTACTTCTGGTCGTGCGTGAGGCGCCACAGCACAAAGTAGCTCTCGAAGGTCTCCGGCCGCAGAATGTAGTACTTCTCCTGCGATCTCAGTGCTCGCGCTTCCACAGCTTCGCTGAATCTATGTGGGGTAATCGGAGCCATTTATATTTTATTGATTTTCTTTTTTGGGATTTCGGGAGCTGGGTTACCCACCTAAAGGCCTCGGGACCCAACTGAGTGGGTGCTCGAATGTAGCTCTCGTGGCAGGTGTTCGCAATACCCTTGCCCACCTCCATGTACTTGTCCGTATAATCGTTCTGACGCGTGGCAGCTCCCAAAGCGAAAAGGCCACCTGCAACATGGGAACACATTATTAAAGGATTTAAATGCGTGGTAAATACATTTATATGTACTCCAATAATGCCCATAACTTTTCTAATTATTATCCGATTTGATACTTAAATATCTATCAATAGATATAGATAGATTATTAAAGGATTTAAATGCGTGGTAAATACATTTATATGTACTCCAATAATGCCCATAACTTTTATAATTTTTATCCGATTTGATACTTAAATATCTATCAATAGATATAGATAGATTATTAAAGGATTTAAATGCGTGGTAAATAGATTTATATGTACTCCAATAACACTGTGCGACAAAATTTAACGAAATGTTTGTTTGAGTTACTTTTTTGATTGTTTTCGGTTAAGGGGCATAAGTTATGCACAAAAATATTTATGCCACCTTCTAAGTGATAGGATTTCTTTTTTTATGATAAATTTTATGAAATTATTATTATGAAAATATTTAACACAAAATATTATTTTTTTTTTTACTTCCAATAAACTATTATTTTTTTTTTAAGTGAAATTTTTTTCTGATTTTTTTTTGGCTTTTTCAGAGGTATCCTCGCGTAACAAGTTCCATACAAAGTCGCCCAGAGTATAGAGCTGGGAGAAAAAAATTTTAAAGCATTGTTATAAAAGCCTAACGGTATATTTGCTTAATACATTTTAATTAATAGATATTGAACTTGCATTAACGCTTATAACGGTGAAAAAATATTTTCCCAATATGGTATTATAAGGCTGTGAAATATGCAAAAACACGCGTTTTTGGGACCTTTGAGTGTGCGTAGAAGCTGATTGGCTATTGATATTAACAAATCCAAAAACTTGTATTCTTATTTTGACTAGTAGAAGTGAAAAATAAGAAAAAATCAACTCAAACATTTTTTTGTCGCACAGTGTAATGCCCATAACTTTTATAATTTTTATCCGATTTAGAAGTGGTGTATCTCTATGAATTTGTTACTTAAATATCTATCAAGCTGCCATTTTTTCCATTTTTTGAGACCCCCGCCCTTTCAAGATTAGCAAGAAATGGATTTGTATGGATTTTCCCAGCATTTTTTAAGCCATAACATGTTTTTTACTCACCCGAAAAGCAGGCAAGATGGTCCATCTTGTGCTCCAACCGATCGAACTTGAGATCGGAAACGTATGTCAGTCCGCCGGGGCTGGTCCGGACCATCTTGTCCAGAATGGCCACCATCGCCTCGTCGTACATTTCGCGGGCCTCCTCGTCAGTTTGGCCGGATTGCAGCCAGGCCTTCAGCAAATACTCGTAATAACTGTCGCCCAAAGCGCCCAAGGACATGTGGACTGTGGAGGAGAAATGAATTCAGTATGTTTTTTCAGTGGAAATAGAGTCATAATGGAAAAAACCAAACTCTAGCCATTCAATATATTGATTATATTATGACAATAAGAAGTGTTTCGTTAAGAAGGGTATAGAGTTAGAGTTTAGGCATTGTGGTTATTCAAATACTGAATTTAAGTTCAATCATAGTTAAAATTGAATGTCTAGAGTTGGCTGACGCCTTAAAGAGCTTTCGTTGAACCCCCGCGAAACTTACGCTGTCCCCATTTGCCTGTCTTGGGATTGAGGAAGTTGGGGTAGAGGCCCTTGGGCTTCTCGATTTCCTTGAGCACCTGCCGGATGGTCTGCACTCGCTCCCGGTACAGTGGGTTTCCGGTGATGTCGCTCAGGTAGGCGAACTCCATGTGGAGGGTGCCGAACTCGGAGAGGATGGAACTTCCGCCGGATGCCCAGCCGTAGTTCTTGGCCACGCCGGTTTTGGTGTTGACCAGCGCGTAGGGAATGCCCGTTGGGGTTTGGAACGCGGGCAGCAGCTTATCGGCAATGTGCTGGGCCTTCTCCTTGTACAGTGGATCCCCCGTAAAGGCGTACATTGTCAGCATGCCGCCCACAAAGCGAATGTTCGTCTCGAACACACTCAACTCCGCACTGATGTTGTCCAGCGAGAATTTACGCTCGATCCAATCGCGACCCTCGCGATACTCCTTCTCCAATCCCATAATGTACAGGGTATCCAGCCCGTCGACAATCGTGGCTCCCAGATCGTAGGATCCGAAGATACTGCCCGAATGGGGACGCTGTGACAGCGGCCGCAATTCGTTCTTGCCCCACGCGTACAGTTTGTAGTTGTGCCACGCGTGTTCCATCATCTGAAAGTGAAAAAAAAGTGGAATTTACTTAGTACGACTATTTTGCAAATTGCTTTAGAGCTTGAATTATTTTACCAACAGTATTCAATTTAGTAACCAGATGTTTTCATCTAGAAATTTTTAATGAAAACAGTATTTCCACTTCGATTTTTAATATGGAATTCCATATCGCAGCCATAAAGGCCCATAGAAATAATTTCAAAGCCGGGATCGAAATCGAAAATACTCGTTTTGTGTGCAGAGGCCACATTCAAACATTCAACGTTAAAGAACCCTCAACAAATCGCAATCATTTGCATGGTTACAATATGCAGATTTCCGCACATTTTACGTTATTTCTATATTTACTCTCCGTTAAATATTTGGCCTTCGTGGAAATTCGTTTCATATTTAGTTTCTCCGCTTGAAATGTTTGCCTACTGCGTGTATGTGTGTGTGTGTTTGAGTTGATTTTCCCTTTTTTCCAATTGAATTGAATCGCCCAGTTCCGCACACACACGCGCACACACACATAAGAGTGGAAAGTCACGTATGTGAAGGTGGCCGCAGAAATGTTAATGAAATGGACAGCGGAAAATCTTTTTCATTGGCATTGCCCTATGAAAAACTATAGGCAATGTGATGTTATTTGATTGGAATTCTTTTTTCAAATGAATAAAGTTGTTTTTTTCTTTTATTAACTGGTTAAAAAGGAATTTGTATATATTGGAATTCAATGTGGTTAAATATGCCACGAAAATATTATTTTTAAATGTGATTGTTTTTATTTAATTGTTGGATTTTATTGTTGATAAGGGTAATATTTTAATTCGAACTAACAACTTTCTGTTAAGCTTTCTCTCCATTTTTTTTACTTTCCATTTAGCTTAGTGCAAGTATTTGGCTATGCACCTGTGTGTGTGTGTGTGTGTATTTGTGCTGGTGTGGCCTCTGCTATTTTGCATTTTGCCATGTACTTCCGCTCACACACACACAGGAACACCAGCGCGAACACACACAGAGCATAATTCGGCATTGCATACTTTGGAGCGCCATTTCCCAGCTTTTCCTTTTCCTCGCCGCCCGCTTGGTGTGGCTTTCATTTGGGTACTTTTTTTTTTTTTTGTAAAATTTAAATTACGACCACAGGACAAAGCACTCAGCAAGGACCAAGGACCACTCTTCCCCCAGCCCCGCCACTTGAACTCCTTGTTATGTTTGCTTTCGCTGGAGGGAAAAGGGAGCTACAACAAAAAGGGGGAAACAGCGAGCGAGGGCTGAACAAATATTAACAATTTTCCCGGTAATTAATTAGAGTCCAACGCGTTGACATAACCTACTGAACGGAACAATCCGCCCAAAACCACCTGGCTTTAACCCCATAATGTTGGATCGCATATCACGCAACTTATTAAAGGGTTAAGGTCAGCTTTGAGGGTTAAGGTTGAGGCTGAGTTGGATTTCAGCATAAACGGAGTACATTTTTCATAAATATTTTATTAATACGAATGGCTTTACTTGGCCCAATTATCTTTATAATTCTTTTAATTTTTTCAAACTGATTTCATTTCGTTTTATTATTCATGCCTGTTTATTTTATATATTTTTTACCTAACGTAATTAGCATTGTTTTATTTGCGTATTATACTCTCAACAATGCCAGCAGAAAAAGCAACAACATTTATCCGGTAACACGGCTCATAAGCTCCGGAAAACCCCAAAGCCGGTGGTCAGTTGGAGATGAAGAATTGAGAGAGCGACGGCAACGAAATGAAGAACCGCTGTCAGTGAATTAAAAGTCGAAATGTTTACAGCCCGCAAAAACACTTTAAACGGATTACAACAGCTGGCAGAAAGTGTGGGCTAAAAACTGGGGGAAAAGGATAACGGATGTCAGGCAGGACGAAACACGAAGGACTAAAGACTGAGGACTGAGGTCAACGGGCATTCAAATGGAAGCAACTCTTGTGCTTTTGCCTCCGGCTGTTTCTTCTCAGATTTTGCGTGATTTAATGAGCCGCAGCCCAGATTGATGAATGACATGCAGGAATTTCCACTGCGAGCGAAACGAAAACAAAATTAAATTAAATGAAAGGGAAAGGGAAAAAGGGTAAAGAAAGTAAATATTAACGAAGTAAAGAAACACAAGCATATTAATAAGATAGATTTGAATGCATACTATAAATAGTAAAAAGTACTAATAATCAACACAGAAGGACTTTAAAATATGTTTTAAAGAAAGCAGAATTTTTTCTTTTTTTCTTTTACAACTTATTTCTTAATATAGGTATACCCCCAAACCCGCACTGATTTTCAATTTAAGTGGTAGCTAAGCACTGGGAAAAGAGCAGAGTATCTCAATCATCAAGTCGACTAATTTACGGAAATTGCTTGATGGATTTGACTGATTGATTGAATAATTTTGGTATTCTTGTGGCCCAACATACACACTCATCCATCTGACTTTGCCAGTTTGCCAGTGTGTGGGTGTGTGTGTTTATGTGTGCGTGTGTGAGTGTGTTTGGATGTCTTCATTAAGCATCAAGTTATATCCTGGCAATGTGCAAACGTCGCACAAAACGTGCCACAGGCGCAGGAATGTCAGTCTCAAATGGATGTGCGTGAGTGCGACATCACCGTGCAGCTACAGTGAGCACTCGTAAATGGCAAACAAAATTGGGAAATTGTGATGCTTAGTTAAATAAGTTGGAAGGATAACTACCGATAGTAAGAGGTAGAAAGAAGCTGTTTATAATTATTGGATGCTATTTTAAACCATAATTGATGGTATTACGAATACCACCTGTACTTGAACGTATGTGCCTTGTGTATTGGTATGCTGGAACATAATTTCCGCAATGGAATGTCCCAACATGGCAGCAAAGGAGCAAACCAGCGGGAATTGGAGGAGGAGGGGCCAAGGTAGCAAGTGGGAGACACTCGTCATATGCCACAATGTGTCCACATCCCAGACGGCAGGTGACAAAAACCAGCACAGAAAATAATGCAGCCTGCCTTTCTGGGCAATCTCGGTAAATTTGTAACTTGGAAAACATTAATTCAAGACTAAATATATGAGATAATGTCACATGTAATGCATACAATGCTAGTAACATTTTGTTAGGGCAGGAAACTTAACAAAGTGATATAATATTAGTGTTACAGAATCCACATTAACATTTAATTGCTGGTTGCCAAAAATTTTCGCACAGTGAGGCCTGTCACACACTTCTAGTTAGCGTTTGAGTTTGAGGCATGCCACAGCTGAATGTTGGCACTCGCTGGAATTGTTTTCCGTCAGCCGCTGGCACGTGACTTTCGTCATTCACTTGATGGCATTTCATTTCAGGCGTGTTCTCATTTTAAAAGCCTCGCGCCGAACAAGATATCCCTCTCGTTCTTCCACCGCATCGTTTTCTCTTTCCCAATCTTTCCACTCCCCCTGACAGCCTACCGCCTCCCCCTCCCCTCCCCTCCCCCTCCACCAATCCCCAATCCTCCTCCATTGCCATCTAACTTTAATGACAGTCCCTGGAGATCCGGGCGATTTACGAGCGCAATCTTTACAGCCAAAAAATGAAAAGTTGAAATTGCAAAAATGAGAGAGAAACGGAGACAGGCGGATGGGAAAAACAGGAAAAATGCGGCGGGGGTGCATCATCTTTAGCTGGCCATAATTGAATAATCCAAAACATTTTCAATGCAACTTTTGAGCACAAAGTTCTTGGCCAAACAAAAGCGGAACAAAGCGGCAGATAAAGAGTTCACAACAAAAATACCGAAAAAATACCATAAAGGAGTAAAAGTTGAAAACTTAATGCGAAAAATATGCACACTCACACAAGCAAAAATAAAAAAGCACAAAAAAAACACACCACAACTTCCTTGGCAGCGAAAAAGTTTATCCAGAAACTCTGCCAAAGAAAAATCATTTGCTCGGGGCCATAAAATAATGCAAAAGACGCGGCAGGAGATTTTCTCCCAACTTTCCTTCTGCAAATCCAAATCTCCTTTCACTTTCTCCTATGTTTTTTTCTTTTATCCAAGGAAATTATATCCCGCAAATCGTAAGAGAATGTGACTTACTTATTTTTTAGCTGATAAAAGGAGGTTCTCATTTATAATTGACTTAATACTCTTTGCTTAAAGATAAAGATATTTCCCTGTATATTAAACATTTTTTTTTTTGCTCCCAGTTGGAAAAGTTTGTTTGGTTCTCTAACAAAAACTTTTGTCCGGCATACCTTCTGATATTTAATTGCCACAGGGTACTCTTTACGAAAACAATCCAACTATTTGCATTAAGGTGCCGGCGGCTGCTGCGATTGTGGGGATTTTTGGGAGTTGGGTTGAGCGTAACCCCAAAACAAAATAGAAACAAAAGTTTTGTTGGCGAACAAAAAATTAAAACAAACGAAAACTATTAAGAAAATATATGCAACTGTGGGGAAAAGTCATAAGAAAAATTTCTATCTGTATTAAAATAATACGAAAGAATATTTTGAAGAAAAGAAAAAAGGGAAATGATTTTTCTTTTTCCTACTTTTCTCGCGGCTTTATTGCCGCTTATGTTGCAAATTCCACAGTACGAGTATGATGAGCTTTTCTGCTCTCGTTTTCTTTCGTTAACTAGCCGCTTTAGCCTGTGCTGACCCTGTGCTATTGACAATGATACTGGTCAAAACGAAACGGTCAAAATGCTCGAAAACATGGCCATCGGTCAAATACACACACAAATACCAAAGCAATGCCAATGCCCACGCACTAACACACGCACACAAGCACACACACACACTGATCCAACAGAAGGACAAAACAACAAAAGTGGGTTAGTGTCAGTGTTGCACTAGTGTTTGTTGTTGTCATTAGCTTTCTCGTCCAACTGATGACCGCACAGTGGAACAAAACATGAAAACGGAGAACCTATTTACGAAGCAAAGAAATTACATAATTCAAGTGTAACATGGAATGATTTAAATTGCAATACTATAATACGACATAAGCATACAAGATTTAAAGGA